GACAGTCGTGACCCGGACGGAATTTCGATATTTTTACCACCCATCGAGATATTTAATTTAGCTCTCCAGACTAAATCAGACACATTTTAGAAAATATTGTTGACTCGGTGGGAATCGAAGCTACGACCCGTTGATTATTAGCTATAAATATGGTATTGCTACCATATTACCATTACCATTACCGAACCCGTACAGCATACAGGTCCATGTACTATTAATTTTCATATCTGGTCTGACATGTTGCAGCGAACTAAATTACATTGAGCCGCACATTTAACAATAATTAAATACTTTCTCTTCTAAAGCGTATAATATTCCATTTGTCTACAAATTCTGCCAGCCGTGACCTTAGCAGAGACAATATAGTATGTAATCTGTGCCCGCTTTTCATCATGTAATCCACTAGGCTTGATGGCCATTTAAAAAAATGGCCGCTCCCTAAAATATAGAGACATAAAATATATGGGACATTATGATCGAATAAATTGTGAAAACACAATAATACATCTTCCAACTTACGTTGTACAAAATTTAGTCCCTCCCCACAACCCCCCTCCCTGCTACTAGCATCCGATTTTACATTTAAAAAGTTTTGAAGTATCAGCTATGTTCAAATCATCAACAACAACATTGTTGACTATAAATCAGCAAATAATATTTTTCGTGTAAAAATATATTTCTAATACAATAACTTTCAGAAACATACACTAATAATATTTGAATTACAAATTAAGAATTGCGATTTAATGGCGCCGGTCGAATGCAAAAACTGACTGACTGAGGACTAGTGGCCTGCCGACAGCAAAAATAATACTCCAATAAATAAATTATTTTTGAAATTTAACATCAATTATCAATTTTTTATTTTCTTTAATTACCTATACTGCTGGCGGCCGCCATCAGTTCATGATTTGCCCGAGTGGCCCCTAGTCTTAATAAGTCTGTGCATTCCAGTCCTAGAGATTAAGCTGAAATACATGATGATAATACCGAGACGTCTTTAGTGCTTTAGTGTACGTAGAACTTTATCAGTATTCATCAGTGTCGGGGATGGCATTGTGTGCACTTTCTTCTCTTTGCATCCACTCATAACGTTTTCCAGCAGACGCTGGGCGCTGAAAGATGAAACTCACTACAAAAGACTGGCCAAGCATTTGTCAAGATTTTGTATTATACTTTGTATCGTTTTATTGATATCCGGTTATGTGGTTTAAAAATAATTTAAGTAAATACTGTCTGGAGTTTACACGAGTAGTACACATTGACATAAAACACTTTAACGGTTTAAAACGCATAGTATCAGCAGCTCTCCTCGTGGCCGCGTTAAAGTGTTCCATTTAAATAATTGAAGTATATAATAGATACAAACTTTTTAGAACCCTGCGAAATAAGCCAATGTTTCTTTGTTAGATTTACAAGTACAAACAGTCGATATTAAAAGCTTTCAACTTTTTTTAATCCGTTGAAAACTGTAAACATGACAGAATCAAATGTATGGCTTTATAACATTTTTTCCACAATAGATTAATACTGTAACACGTCTTCACATAAATTACCTGTACTTTCAACATTTTTAAAAACGAAATGTGCATTATATTGCAAGAGTGATGGAATGTAAAAATGTGTTTTTAGCAATCTTGTGTATCCACGGTAATTTAAGAAAGTACTGCCTTCATCTTAACCTCAATGCATTTGTGGTTTTAAGGAACAGTGTAAACATAGATTATTAAACATGTACGACAAAACTAAGTTTCAGTAAACCAAGAGTAAATAAATGTTTTAGCAGACTTTTACAGGTACTAGGTTATTTAAAGGGAAAGTACGTATGTACGAAACTCGTGTTGATATTTCATCACGTTGGGCAAACAACATTAGTTTATAGTTAACAAAACTATGTTATATTTGGCAACTACAATGAAATATAAACACACAGTTCGTCTTCACATGAAATTCATTCATACGAATTCACGCCATCAGGTTTATGAAAACAGCAATTCCACGTATACATATGTCACGATTATATTGCACTTCGAACCACCGTAGTTTGACCTTCCTAATATTTCATTGTGCACTAAAACTGGAGATATAATTCCCTGTATTAAAACGGGTTACATCTAAATTGGACACGTTGTTGCCATTCTGTTAACGTCGGTTTTGCCAATTAAACTGTGGGAAGTTGTAATGAGATCTGTACAACGGAACAGTCAAAATGGCTAATGTAAAAAGTTACCTGTGACATCTTTGTGTTTGTAACTTGAAACGTTTTTTAAAAAGCTATCATCTGCAATAATCTTACTATTGTGAACATTTCTGTGACAATTTCCCCACTGATGTTTAATTTTGTTTCAAGAATATCTTACACTTAACTCCAAAAAATAGCTAGAAGCTTAAAACACGTCGTTGCTAATTGCAATCTGTGGCGATAATAAACGTATCCTTGGGTTGATCCCTAACGGGTCTACATCTTTCTACATCAATTAATAACATTTGTCTGAAACATATTGGACTTCTCTGAAAATCTGGATATTGAATGTGTGGTATGAATATCGAGAGTCACGAACTACCGGAATAGTATGTACAGATGAAAAAGCGGTAAGTTTATGGGCTTTCGGTTTCAGTATAGAATACCCAAAGCTATAATATATTGAAAGTGCATCTTGTTAAGTTTTATATGGCTGGGATATTTCATCTGCCATCTTGTAATTCCTATATAATTTATACAAATGTAGTAAATAGTCAAGATTTGCACTGCCCTCAAAATAAAGATATCATTTTAAGTACAGTTGTGTCATCCACAAGTGTCGTAAGTTCACATTCACATGTATTTCCGATTCAAGTGAATGAAAATGTAAAACATGTTTTATTGTAGCCACAGAAACCCACTGAAATACTCATACAAAGAGAGCACGCTTAAGAATCTGTTGATCCTACCCAATAAATGATAGGGTTACATAAGCGAAAACGTTTAAGAGTTCAGCTTATTCAAAGAGTCGCTCTGGCATTAGTCCAAATCTACGGTACGATTGCGTTGGCAAAAAGTTTCAAATACTGGCAGGTAGAAGCCCAGTTTGCGATTTGGTTTATAAGTTAAATTGATTTCAGCTATGTGAAGTAATAAGGCTACAGCCTTAATACACAAAGCCGTATTTCGTGAGGCCGATATTTTTTTTAATTTCACGTGCAAAATATGTCTCTTCGGAACACAAATAATACTCGTAAAATATAATGGCTATGATTTTAAATCTTTCGTAAGTACTAAACAAAAGATCCCACATAACCAATGGTTGAAACAGTTCTGAATCTTTTAAATAATGTCGGTATCTTACGCCTAGTGCACTTTTAACGGTAAAGTGCAAAAAATTTTCAACTTTTTACATTTTATTTTAACTACGACCCGACGAGTCGGATTCATTGTAACTTAAGTAATGTTACATTATGAGGTAAATCATATATTTCGTATTTTTCTTATTGAATCTTAATCCTGTTCCAATTAAATTTTATCCGTGTGATATCTCCAATAATATGAAAGGTCATTAAGACAGGTAATTGCTAATCCTTAGCATCATAAAAGCGCGCAGACTTGCATTCAGCTCACAGTGAATGCTAGTAATTATAGACGACGTTATCGAGCTCCACTAAATCTCCTCGGCGACTTTAATTAGTTAAATATATGAAGCATTGTGTGGTACTGAGCTATTTGAGACATTGGACGTATTGTTTTTAACAGTTGTATTTAATCATCTTTGAAGAAGAGTTTTTTTAGTAAGAATATATTATGTAACGTGATAAAGTAAAGTGTAGTGACTTTTCGTTAATTTATTATATATTTTAAACAAACAGTCGTTCCATACACGACACGACAAAGGTGTAGAGTATTGAAAATGTTTTCAATACCCTTCGCAGAATATAATTTTTCATTCGTTTCGTTCCTGGGTCTTTTTTGCGACGCGACAGTACAACAAAAAATTAAATATGTACGCTAGTCGCTGTAAGTAACTGACATAACTTTACAAGTTACAATTAATGCAGTTCGTTTTAGTTACGCACACAATATATTTTTATCTTTATATAACAATGATAAATGATACAATTATAATTGTTAGAAATAAGAAAATAAAAAAGACCGAATAACGAGTCTGACTATGCGATCGTACAGCAATATAAGTATTGTTGTCTACAATTTAATACCCAGCTCATCAGTTTTTTACTGATGTGAAGTATCTTTTGGAACCAACAATTTAAAAACGTGCGTTTATGTTTCTTAGGATTAGGTTGTAGCCTTGAAGGCCCAGAGGGGATAATATTATACACGAGTTAAGTATGAATTCCTGTACTCAAAAGTACGGTACACAATTTATGCCAAGCTCCCTGCTCAAAAATTCTCTGAAATTAATTCTAAAACAAACTTACTAAAGTATGATGAAGTATTACAGTTATTATTAACGCTATTTAAACATTGAAGATACCTTTCAAGAACCTGAGATAATATTAATAAGTCAGTCTATTATTAATTATGAAAGTAATAAGTTACGGCCAAGGTATTCGTGAAAACATTTACCTTTTCGTTCATTAGGCGAGATGAAGCCGTGGATTGTCCACTCAGCCGAATCCTTTTTGTTTAGAAGAATAACTTGTTTATTGCCGGTAATTTTTCATCAAGGAAATTGAACTTTGCGTTCTATTTATATTAAATGTGTTTTATGCTAAACATTTTTAATTGTACGTAGAATAAAAATAGACGAAGCAAATTAATATTTTAATTAAAGTTAATAAGAACCATAATTAATCCGTACTCGACTATTTTTTATTTCCTGATATATGATTTATGTTAATGTGCTATAGTAAATTTTACATTAAAGATACGAGCAGAAATTCCGGTGACTTAGTTTTTAATAAATACGAGTTTAGTATCGTCTTCAACGAGGTCAGTGCAATAAATAATATAACAGAATGAAGCCTTTATATTTATAACATTTTTACTCTTAGGCTCTATTAGTTTCTTACAAATATGACTCGCCTAGTTGAATATTGTAAATTGGTGCAAAATCTGACATCGTTGCTGGTGGTTCACTTAAACTACGGTACATAGCTGTCGCGTCCACTAGTGGAATATTATCCATATGAATTTCTTTTTCTTTAAACTTCCATCCAATAACACACGAAATGGTGCAAATGATAATGCCAAAGAAAATACCAGACATCCACCAATAGGAATCCAAGAAAGTTGAAACCACAACTTTTTTCCACTCACTACAAGCGTAACTGGAAGCGAGAGTTGTGGTACAAACTCTCACTATATATTTGTTAGCGCCTTGCACCTTTACTAACAGACTCGATACGTTTCCGGCGACGCAAAACGTTTGAGGTAATATTCGACTATAATCATCAAATTTAATTACAGGTGAAACTTCAACTGTGTAAGACAAGACCGCTCCGTTTATAGTTTCAGGGGGATCCCATTTCACAGAAACATGACCCTGTTCATTTGCACTGAGGAAAGTTAGGATTGAAGTATCGGCCTCGATCGCTCTTAAAGTTTTGACAACACTTCGAGCAGAAATACTACATACCTCTTTAGTGCATGATCTTAATTTAAATCTATAGTCTCGATATGGGGCTAATCCTCCCACTTGATAATCTTTTCTGGTACCGTTTATACCTAGAGCTAATTTCGTAACATACGACCCGATAGTTTTATTTTCGGGCCTTTCATTGGTAGAGTCGCAGCCATGAATAGTTTGACAGATATCAAAATATTCTTCCACCATTGCTCCCACGGTCACTGTGGATAAAACACCGCACATTGATTCGCAGCTCCTATCGTAATTATTTGGAGGTTTCATTACCTTTGCGTGAACTGAGTAATCCTCTTGCCACTCGTATAGATAGTTCAAACAGTGATCTCTTGCTAGAATATCAGAACTAAGAATTTCAACCAGTATAACGTCTAACTCATATCTCACAATATGTGGTAGATAATCTAAGTGATCTACCCACCTAATAACGACGACATCAGAAGCAGACGCAGTCAGTTCTACTATAAATGGGGGTTCGGGCTTACCAACTGAAGTAGAAAATTTTTTCACTGAACTACGTGATAAATGATTATAATCGGGGTTATATTTTTCTACGCACATCGCATAATTTGTCGCTGGATGCAGTGAACTTAGTTCCACTTTCATTACGCGAGCTTTTTTAGACTGAATAACACTTATAGCATGCCAATCAGTTTCGTTACAAGCTTCTGGAACGATAATATTTTCTACTCCACGAGAAATCTTAACATATAATATAGTGTATTGCACATTCATGTTGGATTCTGGATAAAAAGTAACCGTAACAGAAGATTCATTTTTCACGCTTACAGTTAGGTTCAGGATGACTTCATCACAGCTGCCACTATAACCATTTAAGCCCTGCGGTATATCTAAGTCACTTGGTCGAACAGGAAATAAGGGCAACAATTTGTCTATTTCCCTAACACAAAGCATTTGATTTCTATAAAAGCTCATAGACCCTCGATTAACTCTTAAATTATGCGTAACGTTTTCTGGAAACAGACGTTGTAAATTGTGCATATCATGGACTATTAAGCTATATTTCCCATTATATAAATTCTCCCCGCCGATCAGTTGTAAGCCTTCGAGGAAATCCAAAGATGTAATGACAAGTGAGCCGTGTATTTCCACGTAGTCTGTCACCTCTCGAATGTTCTTCAAATAATATCTCAACTCAGTCATCGCTTCTGGTGGAGCTCTAACGTGAATAGATAAATGCCCTTTTATGTAAGTGCAATTCGCAGCTGCTTGAATAGACTCTATGTGATGGATGGAAAGGTTGTAACAAGTCTGAAAGCAACAAAATATAAATTTACGTGTGTTGTGAAGCATTTGAAATTTTATCCTAATTATGTTATTTCGAAATAATTTGTTTTTATACTATACTAATTAACTACTACTTTTTATTCAGGCATTATTTTAATAATGTTAGATTAGTTTCAATTTTTTCTAACTTCTAAACTAACGTAATGTTTTATTAGAATCGATTTACTGTGTTGTATGTTCACATCAGTTTTAAGAGTTATCTATGAATTAATTAGAATTTACTGAATACTGAAATATAGATAGAACTTTGATTGAACAGTGCCAGTTGAGGTAAATAAAAGAAAAAAACCCACCAAATGACAGTTATCACATGGCTCACAGGTAGTTCCCTCTGCGCTTCTGTGTTTGATGAAATTCGCTGGACAGTCGGGGACACATGTATTGTTCCACAGCCAACGGTCTAAATGTGTACATTCATCTATTGTTACACAGTAATTACCCTCCGTTAAAGGTATTCTGTAAAAGACCAGAGACATTATTCTATTATATGAAGACAAATAGTTGTTAATTAACATAGTGATAAGAAGACATTTGAAATAACAATGTGAACAAATACAAACAATATAATTAAAAAACTAATCGTGGTGAAATGTCTGTATGTAAAATTTACCAGAAATATTTTGTTTCGAAAATCTTACGTATGAAAAAAACAATTCACATTATGCTGACATACTTCAAATTGTTTTACAAGCAAAACATAGCTATGACTATAGAATGTTATAATTTATGATCAAAGCAAGTAATGTTTTGGTTAACTTTATCTTTCCTCCAATCCATGTATTATATTTTTATTAGAATAGAGGAGGGTAGACAAGCAAGGTTCTCTTGATGGTAGGTGAAACACCCCAGCTAATACAGCTCTACTTCAAATCAAGTTGCGCATCTAAACAAGAATATCACATCTAATAAAGATGCGCTATCGACCTATTTTGTCATTGGATATTCGGAAGTAGGTACACAGAATGCAACCTAGCGCGACTTCACGGCTCTTTGAACTCTGGACGGTGGATCGTGACCCGGCACGGAATTTCGATATTCCTAGATGTTAATATCCAGATTTCCAGGCGAAATCAAGTTATGAATTGATTTAAAAAATAATGAACCCGGTGGGGAACGACTCCATTACCCGTTGATTATAGCCATATATAGCTGCTACCTTTGCACCAATAACGCCGTGAGTTTTACGTGCAATATTACGTTCAACTAATTATAATGTAAATATATAATCAAGACTCACGTTCCCTCAGGACACACTGGGACGCATTTATCTCCATATCTAAAATTCCGGCAAAGAGAACAATCCCTGCTATTTGTTTTCCTGCAGCCAATACATTCGGAACTACATTTCTCTGCCTCAGGCCCTTCGAGGAAACGTTGACATTTTCTGGGAATTTGAAACACTATTTCTTTTAATTCAGAGACTATTATAGAGGTGACAGGGATGGTGACATGTGAGATAAGCGAACACTAACCGCCGTTTTCAATAACCTATCTAGAGTTGAGGATAGAGAGCTATACCAGATACACACACAGTAAAATGTTATCCATCTGTAGTTAGTGCTTCATAATTGTGGTTAAAGACTATTCCTAATCGGCGATGGACAACTTTTCTCTGTAACTATGGGTGGATAGATTATTGAAAATAAAGGTTTAACAGATAATTTTGAATTAAATCTTGGACACGACCAGGACTTGACGACATCTCTCTAACCAATTGAGCTACCGTGTTGTCTGATTTCTTAATTTTTAATTTTTATGCATTGTATCGTGAATTATTGTATTAACAATACAAAATCTAAAAATACAGCTTTCTGGTTTTTTTAAGCCACTAGGAAACTGTCCTTTTATCCTCATACAATAATTCCTACATTACAAAACATGTTTTTGTACATTAAAGCGTTTTACAAACAAAAAATCTATTAATTACATAAATGCATAGGTGGTACAACAGCGCAAAATATGACATCTGTCACCTGTAATACTTCTCTGGTTCTCGAAGAACATTACCTGTTATTCCAACAGTAATTGACGCTAGAGTTCGTGGAGCATGTACAGTGTATGTTTTTGCATCGGTTAAAAGAATCAAATACACTTAGGACGTGGCGGGTATTAGGAGCAATCGCCTTCCAGTTCACAGATTCTACGTAACATGTAAGAGGGCCCGTCCAAACGATGACACCACCTCTGTCTATTTTCAGAAGATTAGATAAGCCTATCTGAAATAGAAGGTTCTCTATAGAATCTACCCTGATATATAATTCTGAAGAATTTGTTTGTTGAATCTCAGGAACTACTGGTTCGAATTGAAAAAAATTGTGTTGGAGCAGTAGTCGAGGAATGACATTGGTCATAGGCAATATCGATTTGACTAATAGGAGCGAAGAAATAGCGAGAAATGTGAAAAAAAAATGGAAAACCTAAATATATGTACGAAAGAATGATTCCTCTTTAAATGATCTAAAAAAAACCACGACGTATAGTATCTCTTAAGATTAACTTGCAAGAACGACGGGATGCGACCGACGTCGTGGGCAACAGCTTAAATTTATAAAGATGAAGACGAGGTTTTCAAAAACAAAGGGTGCCCAAAATAACTATTCTACGCGGACAAAGTCGCTGACATAGCTAGTTACCCATATAATAAGTGAATATTCGCAAACATTGCTTACCTACACACTAAGGTTTACTTCAATTTTATGTTTAACAAGAGAAGAATTCTCGAATAAACTACCCTATGATATGAAAACTCATTCGAGACCTATTAAAATCTATTATTGCGCAAAGCTACTGAAGAATGAAGATGAAAATATAAAAATCATAATAGCTCCCTCTATAGCAAGTTCAGTGATCGCAATCACTACTTCACTACTAATATTACAAACGCGAAAGTAACTCTGTCTGTCTGTACGGCTTTCACGCCGAAACTGCTGAACCGATTGAAATGAAATTTGCTGCACAGATATTCTAGAGCCTAGAAAGGACATATACTAGTTTTAATGCCAAAAAGGGTTATTAAGGGTTGAAAAGGGGGATGAAAGTTTGTATGGAAATTCGTGATTTTTGAAGCTAGAATAGTGAAACTTTCTTCTTTAACTTTTTGGGAATGAGAGTGAGAGTTAAAATGGGAGTGGGAGTGTTGCCGCAAACTTACGACACAGATTGGGTGCAACGTAGTAAGGGCTATGAAAAGTAATGAGAATGTATCGTAATAAATTTTAATAGAACTTATTAATTTGATAATGCGAAAGTAACTATACATATATAAACTATGCCATGGATATACTTATTATGAATACCTTAATAAGCTCTTTGCAGTGAAACATTGTATTTTATTGTGTACACATATGTCTCATTCAATTTGTAAAATAAATAAACAGCCTAAATAATTAAAACTTCTACCCAAAGTAACTATTCCACGTGGACGAAGTTGCGGACACAGCTAGTATTAAATATATAACTTACAAATCATTTGATCAATATGAATTATCAGCAATGGTTGGGTTTATTCCGTAACTTTCGAATTCTAGAAAACGTACCTCTCTTAGCTTCGGCATATCACTAATTATTAAAGCATAATCCCATAGTAAAGTATTTCCCCGTATCCTCATCAAATTCGGAAAAAGGTCTCCAACAGAGTCTAAGCCAAATACTCTATAAAGGGCCATATAACCAGTTATCTGAAAAAATTTAAATACAATTAACGGTCATTTACGTCAATACAGTTTAAAAAAAAGACTAAATTTATAGTGACTACTGTTTCACAAATTATGTCGAACAACCGAGTAGCAGATATGACAAGAAACACGCCGTTTTATTGCCAAGATATATTTAACAATCTTCGCGTACTTGCTTGAATATCCAGCACTAAATAATGCAGCCATACGCAAACAATTCAAGTTTGTATTTTTTCGATTCGATTCAGCCGTTCAGTGTCCACTGCTGGACATTTGCCTCTTTTTTACTTATATACAAGTTTGTATAGTTGGTTTTTATTAGCGTCATGATTAGCTAAATGTTATTATTTTTGTTAGTTTGGATTCCGTTTTCCGTCTGTTATATAAATTAAAAATCTACTCTTGTATAAATACAGTGGAGGAGCTATAGCCCAGGATATGATATTGTATTTTTTACATCCAAAATAGATTTTAAAAAAGATAAATTAATTGTCCATTGTAATACTTGTCCGTAGTATGTAGTACGTACTAAAAATATTAAAAAAGGACATTACCTATTATTCCAACAGTAATTGGTGCTAGAGTTCGTGGAGCATGTACAGTGTATGTTTTTACATGGATTGAAAGTTAATTTGAAACGCAGGGTTTACTTAACAAAAAATAATCAATAAAAAATAAATCGATGCTCAAAATAACCCAATCGCAAAGTACCGTACTATCAAAGTGTTCCTGCAACACTCAAATTCGACAACAAATGTAAGGATTGTTGTCGAATTTGAGTGTCAAAAGTTAGAAACTTCAGTCGCATTTCAATGCACATTTCGGGAGAATTGAAAACGATTTATAAAGCTAAATGGATCAAAGATTTTAAAGTTCCACTTGATATATCACATACCCTTATTCGAAGAACGTTTACGAATCATTAGCGCCAGTTAAGCTTATCATTTGTCGTCTCGATGCTGCTTTATTGCTTAAACAAAGTCTTTTCCGAAATATTTGCGGTTATTAAAATTATTCCGGTTGAAATAGGTGTAGTCCGTGACACTTATAATGACATCATCAAAAGTCTCTCTTTAAGTGTTATCTAAGACGCCATTCTGAGGCCTCTAAGTTTCAAATGCCAGGTTGAATAAACTGTTAGTAATATTTGGATATGTTAAAGAGGACACAGATTAATTCAGAAATCAAAGGACGAAAAAAGAATATCATATCGGTATTCACAAAAATTCCACAAACAAAAATACGTTCTAGTGATCAATTCGTCTAAATCAGAGTTCCCCAAACTTTTTTGTGTCGTAGACCCCTTGCCATGTTTTTGTTATGTAGACCCCCCTACTTACCTGATATTGATTTCCTTTAAATGCCTAATTATAGTGCAGTTAAGTGTTATAAACTTAAATTAAAAACACATATTAATTTATACATTCTTTAATTGAATTTATATTAAAACTACTCAAAATAAAGTTTTGTATCTGTTCTGTTTTTTTGTTCATAGGTACTTTTATAAATAATGTATATGTTTTAATATTAAAAGATAGTATGATGTAATAAATAAGTACTATCAGTGTATTTGGAGAGATCCACTATCGTGGACTCACATTTTCATTACATTTCCAAATTTTATTTCGCTGGCGACCTCTTGCAGTTTGTCATATACCTCTAGGGGTCGATATACAAATAAACGTGTTTGCCTAAAGAAATAATTTATCACCGAGATTTGAACCGAAGCCTTCTCGCTTATATGATATTACAATTGTTTTGACTTACTTCTCTCAAATGGGGAAAGCTGATATCCTTAAAGTCTCCGGGCTTAGCCCTGTCCATTAACAACTTCACATCTCCAAGAATAACTGTACAATTCTGTAGTTTTCGTAATAGATTCATTTTATTATTTATGTGTACGTTGATACAAAATCCGTGGTATTCATAAGGACCGTCGATAGTGTTACTGTATTCTATAACATTGAATAATGCTAAGCTGTAAAAAATATAAACTATATAAGTATGAGGCCGTTAGAGGCAGAGTAGCCTACCTATAGTCTAAAAATGTTAATGTACAAGAGCACAGTGAACGAAAATTGATAACATAATTCTTACTCTAATAATAGTATAAATTCGTTTTCGCCTCAGTTAATTGCGCATTTTTATTTTCCTCTTTTTTGTTATTATTTGTTGTTAGGCCGTTCTGCCTCTAGAAGCCTCACATTATTATATCGACGTGTAACTAAATAGTTAAAAGTGCTGCTTAGCATCACGTTAAATAAAATAGAGATTCTGGGTTCCAATGCTGGCGAAACAATAGATTGTGTCTGTCAGGCAGGGATTTTTTATATCTATGCCACGTTATCGTAAAGTTAAATTTAATTCCGAGTTATCTTAGAGCTGTTGATCCGTTTATTAATCGACATGAATCACATTTTACATTATCAATAGGTATGTATGGTATGCGGCACATACAACGCAAGAACAAACCTCTATTTTATCTATTAGAATATATCGATACTATAATAAAGCGATAGAAATACTTGATCAGAAGATTAAACAATATCTATAGATAAAAAGCTGAAGGGTTTGTTTGTTTTGTTCAATCTCAGAAACTAGTGGTGGAAGTTAAAAAAATCTTTGTGTTGTTTAGACCATTTATCGCGGAAGGTTTGTATCGCGTGTATGTCAGCCAATTACGTAGTTAGCTGCTACTTACATGCACTAATAATGTAAAAGTTATCGATAGTCACATATATTCTTACTATATAATATTATAAATGCGAAAGTAACTCTGTCCGTCTGTCTGTCTGTTACTCTTTCACGACAATACTACTGAACGGATTTGAATGTAATTAGGTACACATATGGTCTAGACTCTTAGAAAGGACATACGCTTTTTATTGCGAAAAGGGGGTTGTAAGGGGTTAAAAGGGGGGTGAAAGTTCGTATGGAAATTCGTGGTTTTAGATTGTTCTAGACAATGGGACAATTTTTGGGAATAGGTGTGGGAGTGAGAGTGAGAGTGGAAATTGGAGTAAGAGTGATGTGAGGTGAGAGTGTTGCGCCAAACTAGCACTTACAACATAGATTGGCTGCGATAAATGCGCAATTACATAAATTAATAAACAGCATAAATAATTAAAAATTCTACCCCAAGTCACTATTCCACGCGGACGAAGTCGTGGACACAGTTAGTAAATAATATTACGTATTATGAAACCCACTCAAAAATGCTGTTAATGAGGTTTGGGGACTCATAATTTAAACTGGAACTTGATACTGAACTTACTTACGATGTCAACTTACTCAGAATCACAAACCGGCCTTAAATTAAAAAAAGACTCTTCAATTGCATCAAAATAAAATTACAAGGTACTCACTCACAACATACCTATAATACAAAACGTGGTATTATCGCTACAATAATTGTTGCATTTTATTTTATTTTTCCAATAACTCGTATGTACTGCATGTAATCGTACATATTAATATTTAGTAGGTTTCCTGCTATCGCAATTTAATACTTTAGTTCTTATACTATGTTTATTATATATATTATAATATCTATAACGCGTTTGTTGCTGCAAATATTATTGGTAGCGTTTTTTACGTATTATATTTATTTATTTATTTACTTGGGATTCTAAACAGTCCTGTCTCTTTGGATAAGTTAAAACTTATTACGTATAAAAAATCTAATATAAAAATATAAAGGATATTTCAAAATGCGTTACATTACCAAATAAGCGCTGACGACCTCATTTTTCTTTGAATTTTCGGTTTCTAGCAAATCTCGTATAGGATTTCTTCTGACGTCTTGTGAATATTTTGTTTCTTATATGCAGCCGGAACAGCTTAAAGAGTTTAAATCTGAAGGGAAGGCACATAGCTGCTCGAACTTTTCATCGTCTTTAAATATGCCAATTTCTACCTAGAGAAGAATGTGATTTAGTAATTAACTGTACTACCTATATTTCTTATGCAGGTATGTTAGATACAAGGAAAAAACGAGCTTTTTTGCAACTTTTAAAACATCTTAATTATTAAACGAATTAGTAGGTATTTATTACCCTAATAACTCCAAATAAAAACTTTATCTCGAAGTTTTTGGAACTGTTACTGTCATAAATCTAATTTCTTAAGAATATTAAGGTTAACGCTATAGACCATACGTATATGCTTAGCGGAAGGGCCATAGAACGTGTTACAAATATCAGGGATCTGGGAGTGACACTGGACTCCAAACTGCAATTCAATATACATATTAACAACATAACAACTAAAGAATTCAAAAGGTGATCGATAAAATGACTATTCGTTACTCTAAGTCATTCAAAAAAGCTGACACCCTAAAGATATTATACAAATCTCACGTTCGTAATATTTTGGAGTTTGGAAGTGTTGTTTGTAATCCATTGTATGCTGTACTTATAGATAAAATAGAAAATAATCAGCATAAGTTCTAAAGACTTTGGATTACTTTACGGGTAACTATTTTAACGACTATGAAACTAGCGCTTACAAACATCACTTACTATCTTTAATAAATAGAGATAGATAAATCATACACAATAAAATTGACTCAATCTTATTACTCAGTAAAATTAAATTCCACACACCACGCATCTCCTCACGCAAAAAAATAGTTTTTTCCACTAACACCAGTCATACTAATTATGCCAAACATAGGTTTTTGTCGCGGTCCTGCGAACTTTTTAACAACAAATTTTGTGACGTTGATATTTGTTGGAATAGATTAAACAAATTCAAAAAAGCAGTATTAAGCAAATTGTACGTCGGCATAATTTTTCTTTATTATTTTAATTTCCTTTTTTTCCTTCTCACTTCGGTAAATTAATTATAGCGATGTAAGCAATCTGTAAGGCGTAGCCTCGTTTATTCTTTAAGTTTTATTGTTAATTAGGTGCTATGTAAGGCCGTTTAATTGTTAGTTCAAATAAATAAAATTAAATAAATTAATTAATAAAAATTAAATGTCTAATTGAAGTAACAAAGATCAAACGCAATTTAAAGTGACTTCGACCCGATTTTTGCTTCTTAAACTTTGTCCGTTTTAAAACAGCGCTAGGTTTAACTACCATTTAAAACATCTTACTCACCCTCGTCAAATCCAGGTCAACATACTTTAAAAAAATGCTATCGAAATGAAATTTTTTGAACAAAAGAATGAAACGTAACTTAAAACGAAAAATCAACTGACGCTCCGCGGCAAAAAAATAAACAAAGTGGGCCAAAATTGCGAAAACTTTCATATACAGGATGTCTGAGCGCGATTTATAACAGAAATAATAATTAGGATCAATCTAATCTACTAGGAAAACAGTACAAAACTAATTAAAAGCGCCCGAACGAAATACAGTTGCAATTGAAACTGAATTTACTCACATCGAGTTAGTGCAAATTATTTAATTACGCTCCTTAGGATTCGATAGGCTCTCAATTTAGGATGTTGACCTTATAAAGGTCATGTATTATACAGGTTGATGCTCTTAGTTTTAATCATTATAATATGACACACACACACATATATATATATATTATTTACTTATATTTTACACTAAATACTAACTGTATATAAATTTAAATAAAACACTATCTTCGGTGGAAAAACCGTGACCACAATTGCTGCGAAGAATCCAAAACATAGTCATAATTAAAATAGACAAATGATAAGTTTTACTAGTTTATTTCAAGTTTCAAATCATTGAACGGAACTTTTATTTATATGTATATCTGCTACTCGCGTAAACTACAGACAATATATAAAAATACAAATTTGTGGTGTGTTGTGTAAAGTATAAATTATATCAATCTTAGAAATAAATTAAAAAACCCTACTATTTCGCCAGTAAATTTAACGAAACATGGATTACTTAAAAAACAAGATTAATTTAAAAAAACATGGATGATGTTCTACACTGTTTACAAATTAATTTAAAAAAAAACAAGCTTTTTATAAAGCATACCGTATATATTACCATGGTTCATAAGTCAAGTGGACTTAACAAGTTATATTGCACTTTGTACATCGCTGTCATAATAATTTGTGTGTACACGGGAGTGAAGGGAAAGTATAAGTGAGATCCCGTTTCCCATTGTGGGTAATATGGTGAACACTTCTTTATATGCGTGTCATGAATTAATTTTATCAATTTATTGTTTCCTCGGGAACCAAAACTGGGATATCTAATGCTAAAAGTAGAGCTAGAATAATTGTAGGTATGACTTTTGAGTTATAGAGGCGACCTTTGCTGTGATAAAATAAGTATATTAGGAGTCAGACGCTTGAATACAAAATTGTTACAGCAGCAACAGTCTTATTCTTATAGAATGCAACAGTATTTTATGAATATAGAATAGAAGCTACTATAGATGTGATATGTTCAACCACTTTCAAAGAATAAACAACAGTCTCAAAGCAATTAAAGTGTTGGTATTCTTGCTACTCTTTTTATAACATACTACGTAGAGGACTGTACATCTGTGATTTCGTGGTGAATCTAGCAAGCTTTCGTGACTCTGTGGAATTTTGTAAGGAATTCTCAATGTCACACAATATTTATGATGTATAATTGTCATAAGTTGACATTACAATTTAGTGTTTACTACACATTTCGCATTTAAAATATTTGCTATTTATCCTATTTTAATAGTAATTATGCATTATTGCAACTTAAATTAAAATAAGTCAAACAAATCTTATTTGTAAGTAAATAAGATTATGCCGAACGATACTGAGACAACGAAGTTAGTTAACTTTTAAATTGTTATATCTAAAACATGTTTTTTTATTAAAGTTTAGTAATTTGTTATAATTTAATTCAGGTTAAAGAAGAAAAGAGTCAGATCTAAACGGAAACGATTTGTGAGTAAGAATTTAAAGTGGACGCGTGGAGATGCCCAAGTTCCTGGTAACACATTTGTAAACTCCGAAAATTCTACTCTCATCCAAGACTCTGAAACGTCTAATGAAAAATTTAATATAAGTCAGAGAATTGAAACCGACGAACTGGCAAAAAAAAATTCCGATCCACCTGAAACTATAGAGAGTACAAAACCTGAAGTAAAACAGATAGAAACCTTACCTGTCAGGAATATTCAAACAATTGAGTAAGTTTTTGCATCTTCACTAATATTTAATTAGAACAGTGAATTTAGCCCAACACCCATAAATGTATGGGCAGAAGTAGTTTATAAGTTTATTTTGTACTCCTAAACATTAGATTAGTAAAGTATATTCCTATATTGTTACTGTGTAATTTAGTGTTCATATACATCTTGCTTAGTTATATTTATTGTTTAATTTTATATTTTAATTATAGTTGTGATTTTTACAGATCTGTACAAAAAGGCAAAATTAAAAAAGATACTGGCTACACAAGGAATATACAAATACACATGAACAATGCAGATAAGCCAAAGGGTACTTATAAAACTTAGCATCTAAATGCTAAAACCCTTTTAAATAAAACACTTTAACGACTTAAAACGCGATATATTAGTTAAACTTATTTGAAAATGATTTTTAACTTCGGCCCGATGTTTCGGATGCTTTGCAGCAGCCGTGGTCATGGGGAGATCTAAAACCCTAGCTAATTTTTCTTTCTGAAAAATATACAAAATATTTCATGTGAACTTAATATTAACCTTAAGAGAAGAGAAGATTAAGTTCACATGAAATATTTTGAATTCAATGTAATGTTTGATCTCAGGAAAACCGATACCATATATCACAAATCGCTCTAAAGGAATACCTAATTCATTTCTGCGTGTACAAAATATCACTGCTATAGTTCCTCAAAATAGTAAGTAAAGTCATTTTACAGGACCATGGAATAAATGAAATAATCAAATATATATTTTACAAAATCTTTAAAAAACATTGGTTTCCAAAAATTGTATGGATCCAAAAACATATTATTAGAATGTCATTTTGTAAAAAATTTTCAGCTGTTGGCCAGGAATCAACTTTAACTAAAAAGCATGAACCAGTCTGGTCCTTAAATAATTTAACTGAAAATGACAGTACAAGCAAAGAGCCTTTGAGAGACTCAATACCAACATATTCTCAAGCTTCATTGGGTCAACTCTCTACGATTTATGGCCAAGCAGTACCTATGAATAATCAACCTATGCCTGTTTTTGTACCTCCAACCCATCAAATGCTAGGCCTTCATCAGCAAATTATCAATCAACCTGCAGGAATGTTTGGACAACCAATGCAAATGTATGCCCAGCCAACACAGCTTTATAATCAACAGATGACACCAAATTTCACATATTCAACTCCAGTTTTTGAACCAGCTCAGCCAACTCAACATATGTATGTGGCCCCTAATGCTATGTTAGTGGACGTAGATAATAATATGATTGCTACCCCAAAGGAGCAATATTCACCAACTGATATTTATAACAATATCAATGAAGAAGTGAAAGACAATGATAATGGTAAGTACTCTTAATATGACATTACATGCTATTGACATACATCATCTTCTTTATTGCTCTGTAAATAATTTAATAATCAGTTGGGGAAAAGGATATCACGTAATCATCAAAAGTAATGGATCCCATGGGTTAATTAAATGCATCCAGAGAAGGTAAATTATTTCATTGGGGTCATGGACCCACTACTTTCCTTCATTCGGTACATACCATGGGGTTTTTGAAGTGTGTCTGTGATATAACTTATTTAGGGGATATGGAAATTCATACTGATAAAATTTTTCATGATTATTCTTTACTGTATAATTATAATGAATTTTAAACACCTTCTAGATTCAACAAAATCAGATTCTCCTGTTTTTTCGGAAAATAAAAAGAAGCGTCTTAGTGCATTTGACAGATTGGGGCCACAGACAAGTTCGAAAAAGCCTATGTTGACAATAAACTTATGCCTTGGGAAAGATTCACCGACTAGGTAAATTTTCTTGATAGTCTTTGAAAAATAATTATTAATAAATAATTTCTAATTATATACATATTAGGCTGGAAATAAGACTAAAACACTATGTTCCAGAGAAGTAGTAGATAAAACTAAACACTTACCAGTGTATGAAAGAGATGATATCATGACCAGCACAGACCCAACTGTTGTTAAATTTCGCTATTGCTGGCCCTGGAAAGGTTCAATACCACTCAAACGCAGTGTTACTCACAGATCTTCTAAAGTAAGCACTTTTTACTGGCATTTCGAAACAATTAAAAATCGGTCACAGGCATAATTTTTGATATATTTTGAATTAGATTAATTGGTCTAAAATTAATACAAATATGTTGGACCTGGTGGTGATAAAACCCACGACCCGTTTATTATAATCACCAACCGACCGAATAACGACCAACAACGTTACATTTATCTGTTCTTAAATGAAGAAACTTGTCGCCAACCTTTTTACTGCAACCTGTGTAGCGTTTTGAAGCGTTAGGAATTAGTAATACGAGTAGATGAATTTGTATTTGGACGAGATTACACTTACTTTTAACCATGACTCTCATAAAAATATGTTTTTTTAGACAGTAATGATGATGGAAAAGGAACAAGTTGAAGAAGAATATAAAAATGATAATGTGTTCATGATTGTATCGGTAAGTTTATAATAGGGATGTTTCTTAACTTCACTTTTAATCAGTGTGTAAGCTTTTACTTTCAAAGCTCCAGCATACTAGGACATTGCATTTAATGCAAAGGACTTGTATTAACTATAAGTATATTTTAGGTAAAAGGATATCCCCCTTCTTGGACGAAAGAGAACGTCTTGGACACTATTTTAGAAAACCTCAAAGATCTGAGTTTTATTCCTTGTTTTATTGAGGTGGGTATTTACATTATCATTGAAATCTAGTTTATAATCTAATTTTAGCATGATTTATTTCGTTTCAATCGTTATTTTCATTGTTTATCTGTTAAATAGACAATCAATGTCTTTTAAATAACTTTTAACGGTTCAAACGTACAATAGGTATTAGTTAACTACTGCGGGATGGAAAATGCTAATAAAGCGCGCATGCCTCCAAAAAAAGTCTTATTATAAAAATTACGATGTTTTAAAGAAGTCTTTTTGAATTACAGTTCAGTATACAAGAATGCAAATTCCTAGTTAATAGATGTCGAGCCGCCTTACTTGCACTACACTACCTTGGCTTCTCAATTCGCACAGGAGACGTCGAACTTACGATTACTATATCGGTAACTTTGATGAACACCAAACAATTGGAGTACATACCTCGCTTAGTTATAAGGAATAGATTGCAAAATCTATGCTTAGACGATAAAAAGAAAGCTAATTTAAAGGAATTCACTTTAAAAAGCGGTCAGTATTGATTATCTCATAGCTCAGTACTGTGTTTGTCAAGGACTGGTCTCATAGATAACTCATTTTATCGTAGGTATTATTATTTTTTAAGCAATAATGAAACAAAGGGAGATGTGTTGAATATATCAAACCGCATTGTTCGACTATTGCATGAAAAATTATTTAAAAAAGTAAAAGAATCGTTGAAAACTTTAATATTTTTTTATAAATCGATTATAACATAAATTAAACATTGAAGTTATAATCGATTTTTCAATAATAAATCTTAGTTTTGGTAAAACTTTTTCTGGTACTTTTATTTGAACATCGCCATTAGCAGAGATTACTGGAAAAGCATTTAACACAATCGAGACTTGAGCCATAGACCATTACGTAGAATTTTTTTTATAAACATTCTTTCCTATTTATTAGATGTCAGCAATTTCATATATTTCCCGCTTAATCGTCTCTCAAATCAAGGAGAATTAATGGATCTTGTACATGGTTTGAACTGGGACTATTTACAGGACTTGGACCTCTCTTATAATCGGCTTACGTAAGTAATCAGTACATTTAAAAAAATAAAATGACTATGTCATACCTATTATATATTTTTTAATTTTACTATGCTACCTATGTCTTTCAATTGAATTTTATAACGATTACATTGATTCACAAAAAAAAAATGTTTGCAATTTTAGATCAATAAAGGGTTTTAACCTATTAGAAAGACTACCTAAATTGCAACACCTGAATTTATCACACAACTTGCTAGATGACGTGAAAATTTTGTTACCACTGCGTGGATTGTTATTAAAGACATTGTGGCTTGAGAATAATCCCCTATGCTTAAACTATGTCGATGGAGATTACTACATTAAAGTTATCAAAACTCTTTTCCCTTGCTTAAGAGAATTGGTAAGTGTAACCTAAGACAAAGCATAAGACATTGAAACTAATTTTGTGTTTGTTAAGGTTAAAATTACATTGCTACACTTGTTTAGGACGGCGTTTTTATCCCGCGTAGAGGCGAAATGCCGAAGTTCATACAACACTATTGCCTACAAGATGCGCGGCCTATGATAGAAGATTTTCTGGAAATATATTTTAGATTGCTAGATTTGGATCCCGACCAACGGAACGCTATTGAGGGCTTGTATCATAAGGACGCTATGCTTACTGTTACAAGTAGAAAAAAGTTACGTATGTACTAGATGAACATTTTTGTTCACTCTCATCTAAAGACTTTTAAAAGTTAACATTTACAAATGAAGATGTTGTTTTTCGACAATATCATATTTTCTGACAAGAACCGTAGTGCATTAAATATATTTATTACATTGTGTAACGCGAAAAATGATTTCTCTTAAGCCATCTTATGTATCCTAATTAAACATATTGTTTCCCAGGTTACAGCCAGGATTACAGTCAACTAAGGCACCTGTTTCTACGTAATCGCTGTATAGAAGAAGGCAATTTGGACTACGTCTTGGGTCCAGAAAAGATAAGCAAACTTATTCTAAAGTGGCCCACGCTGCAACACGATCCGCATTCATGTACCGTGGATGTTTTAATGCATAATGTACGTTCTACTGCCCTCTTAATTAATATAGTTTCACGACACTATTGAAGGCAAAGTATTTAAAATACTGCCGATATTGTCCTTTTAGTAAAATAAGTACTTACTTTCCCATACCTTTGCTGTTTTCTTCAGTTTTTTTTATACTCTTCCGTGTGACTGAGGGTCAACAGATATAATATTAGAAAGCCGCGTAATCTATCCCTATATCATCTGCGAAATAAATCTTAGTGAGCTAGATTTTTGAATACACCATTATGACTAAAACACACTACAACGAAAAAAAAAAATCGCATATTATCGTCAACTCCAAAATGAGTTAATTTTACACATAAGAAGCATTTTATATAGGCAATTACATAAACATTTTTTTTTATAGATTCAGAGGAAAATATCGTATGATACCTATTTGCGAAAAATGATTCGTGACTTTAATAATTTTCTTAGCATTACAACGTCACCATAAAGGAGTATATAAAATGTAGTGTAGTTAAAAAATCCTTAAATTTAAAGCCCCATGGGGCTATAAAAGCATAATTTCAAAATGTGTATTTCCTTAGAAATCGTCGACTTTATTACGTGTTACTGGCATCTTGAAGATAAGAGCTACGTGCTTAGCGGACGACGAGCAGTTGATCTCCTTCACTAGAACAGTTTTGCTGGTCTGTGAGGACGATCTTGAGTATAAAATCAAAAATGAAATGCTCTACTTTGATGAACCTAATAAGGAGATCGCTGATAACTCTTTCAGAGTAGCCATAGTAAGTGATATTTTTAACAACTTTTACTACTTCTAATTTCTTATATTTTTATACACTATATAATTTTTATGTAGGTAATTGTGAAAATATTGCTATTCTGAAGTTTGTTATCATAAAGAAATATGTAAATTAAGTTTTCATTTTCACAATACTTTATAAATATTAGTTTAAATGTAGGTAATTTGAAACAAAACTAGATCTATCTATATAGTTAAAAATATTTATTTATTACAACTTCAAGATATTTACTACATTCATGTTCACACAATTACTAGTGCTACATTATGATGATAAAAAATGTATGGTATTTTTAAGGCAAATCTTGAATGTTTTAAGGCAAACCATTTGCTAGTATGTTAGCTCTAGCATGTAATACGTCAATTCTGAACAAAATGTGGTGCATGTACGAAAGTAAATCACTGGCCTACACGGTATCCATAGATTCCTCATTTGTTGGTTCCGTTTCCATTTCCATTTCTTTCTCATCAATGCCACCTGCATATTTCAATCTTAACTTTTCATAATGGGCTTGTTCCTTTTGGGAAACTGAAGGTTTGCATTTTATTAGGGCAGCTCTGAAATCATCAAAAGTAACAAAAATGTCGCCTTCAAGAGTCCCATTAGAGATGTGTGTTGTCAAACTATTAGTTGCAGCAGCTCGAACTAAACCAGATAAATCAGCACCAGTGTAACCTTCTGTAGACTCTGCAACAACCTGCAAATCAACATCAGGTCCTAACTTTGGTTTACTTCCACTTTTTGTCAGTTTTTGTAAAATATCATATCTGTCCTCTCTTTCTGGCATACCCACATACATAATTCTGTCTAATCGCCCAGGACGTAAGACAGCTGGGTCAATAATATCTGGCCTATTTGACGCAGCTAATACAAAAACACCTTCACGACTTTCTATACCATCCATTTCTGTTAATAATTGGTTGACAACTCGTGCTGCACCGTTATTGTCCTGTGAACTACGTCTTGGACACAAAGCATCAAATTCATCAAAGAATATAACACAAGGTGCGGAGTTTCTTGCTCTTCTGAAACATGTACGTACAGCCCTCTCACTCTCGCCTACATACATATTTAACAGTTCCGGTCCCTTTACTGAAATAAAATTAACTCCAGCTTCATTGGCAACTGCTTTGGCTAATAAAGTTTTTCCACAACCGGGTGGGCCACAAAGTAATACTCCACTAGGTGCTGCTAAACCTAATTTCTTCATCTGTTCTGGATACTTTACTGGAGCCAATACAGCCAATTGTAGGTCCTTCCTCACTTGGTTTAATGATCCAACATCATCCCATGTAACATCTGGTACAGTCACAATACCTTCTCTTACTGCACATGGTTTTGTTGTTTTAAGTGCTTTGAAGAAATCTTCCTGTTTTACGGCGAGGTCTTGTAATTTTTCACATGAATATGGTGTAGAGTTTTCCAGCAATTCTAACACTTCTGTAACAGGATCCACTTCTACATCATTCACTTTTAGTATTTTATTGGGGCCTTCTACAACAATGTTTTCTTCACTAGGCTCTTGTGAAGGTACCTGTGTTCTTTTTGTGGAGTCTTGAGACACAGCAGATGAATTATTCTCAGACACTTCACTTTCTGGTTTATTTGCTTCTGTTGCTTCAGTTTCCTTCTCACCATTTGGAACATTGTCATCAGCAGCATTATCATTCTTAATAAGTTCTATGGCTCTGTTTGTTTCTTCCTTTTCTAAATCTTTTATTTCTTTAAATATTCTCTTAACTGCGTAAGTACTTGCTTTGTTTACTAAAGCTTGCAAATCTGCACCGACAAAACCTGGAGTTATTTGAGCTAGTGTATTCATATCTACATCCTCACTGAGGGCTAAACTTTTGCATAAAATAGTAAGTATTTCTCTTCTGGCTTTCAAAGAAGGAATACCTAAAGTGATTTCTTGCTCAAGGCGACCTGCTCTTCTAAGAGCTGGGTCTAACGTATCAGGATTATTTGTTGCAGCAAGCACTAACACAGAAGAGCTTTCTTCAGTCAAGTTGTCTAAACAGGCTAATAACTGTGCGACCATTCTCTTTTCCATATCTTTTTGTGCATTCACTCTATTTCCACACACTGCATCAATCTCATCAATAAACAATATGCATGGAGATTCAGTTACAGCACGTTCAAAAAGCTCTCTTATTCTCTCTTCTGATTCACCAGATAGCCCACCTACTAACTCAGTTCCACTAACCGCAATAAATGGCAATTTCAATTTTCCTGCAATGGCATGAGCTAACAATGTTTTTCCAGTTCCAGGAGGCCCATGTAATAAAGCACCCCTCGGGCTTTTTATACCCAATTTTATATACACCTCAGGATGCTTCATGTGTAAAACTAAGTCACAAACTTGTGTAATAGTCTCAGACAAACCACCAACATCTTCAAAGCTAACCTTTACATGTTTAGGTATACCTATATCCACTTTTTTTTTACTGACAATGCTTTTAGTGTCCACTTTACGTTTTTTATCAGTGGCATTTTGTATTTGAACAGGTTTTTGACATGTTTCACTGTGTGAATTTCTTACAGGTATATGAGGGGTTATAGTTATTTGATCGTTGATCTTAGGAAGCTTCGGCGCCGCAGTCCCTTCTTCGTCACTGCTAATGATGTCGATAGGCTCTCCAGATTTATCGGTCGGCCGTCGGGAAGCTGCGGTCCGTTTTTTGTCTTGCATGTTATACATTGATAGTAAACGATCGTTAAGGGCGCTGTTGTTTTCGTCCAATAATTCTAAGTCAGATTCTTCCTCGGAACCTTCCGAGGTAGAGTCTCCATCTAAACCGTAACTCTGTAGCACTATTTTGTAGGCACTTTCAACCATTTGACAGAAAGCATTGTCACTTCTATTGTTATATTCTCGGTAACGTTCTTTGAGTGAACGCGCCATTTGACTAACATCGACGAATGTTTTATCGACATTTTCCGCAAGATAATTTTTAACGCGAGAAACTATAACAGGATCATTTAACGTCTTTTGTCTCGTCTGATGCTTTTTCATTTTAACAACTATGTTTATTTCACCTTTAGATTGTATAATAAGACTCAAATGACCCACGCCGCAGCTAAGTAGTAAGTTTGTCTTGACAGTTTACTTGTTTTGATTGAATGTCAAACTTTTTTTTTCATAGTTCGGGACCAAGTTATCTTTTTCTCGTACTGAATACAAGTTCTTCTCTTGGACAGATAAAACACATCGGTGTTGCCAATAATAAAATAGTATATTATACATTTCGCTGAACATGTATTATATTCATATATCATATTAATAATAAGTAATTAGCAAGTTATTCGTATATATTGGCAAAAATAATATCGCAAAAAATTTAACCATCTTTACAACAAACAAAGAAAAAGCATAACAGGTTGAATGTGACGTAGTCTGTAGTATAGGCTAGTAGAAACATTTAAAATATTGTTTCTGAATATCATTTACCATTTGCAATTTTTATTTAAGTGTATTTTTGTTTCAGGTAAATAATAAAAGTTTAAGTTTTAAATTCGATCTTCCGCTAGACGATGAGACAAGAAAGAGTATAACAGACATTTTTACCAAATTAACAGGCTTGAATGTGGAGCAGAGTGTAAGGTAATCGTTTTGGGTAATTTCTAAATGTAGGAAAAATAACTTATAAGCAATACAAATTAAATACATACAATATTCAATTTTATTTATATTCAAGTAAAAACTACTTTTAATTTTGCAGGTGTTTGGAGGAAAAGGAATGGGATTTGAAACTTGCTTTAGAGTATTTCATGAAATTGCTTAAATTGGATAATTTTGAATGTATCCGAAGTTAATACAAAGTATTATAATTCCCCGATGTATTTGATTAAATCTATGAACGAACCATGCTTGTTTTCATTTCTTTACAAGGAGAAACACAACAATCAAAGTTAAATTTAATTTAATTAGTGATTTTGAAGTTAAGTAATACAGTGTGTCGTAAAGAACACATTTTACATAGACATTAATAAGTTCTCTAAACAATCATCTCAAGATGCCTGGCATATTCAATGGTTTGTTCAGCGAGTTCTGATGAGGGGAAAATACCACTAGCAGCTGAAAAGTTTTCTTCAGTTGTATTGAACTGGTAGCAGTTGTCTGCTCCCAGAGACCAGTTACGCTGAAAATATAAAAATATAAATGTTAAAATACTAATAGACTATGTATATATACTTAATACTAATCTCAGAAACTTCTGGTTAAAATTGAAAAAATCTTTTTGTGTTCAACCAAGAACATTCAACAAGGAAGGCTTTGGGCTAGAAGATAAATCAATAGAAGCAAAGAAACAGGGAAATGTGGATAGACTGTTAAAATATCATTTATCTTTGAGGGCTTCTGTTGTGTATGCTGCAAATACAATTCAATAAAATAAAAAACTATGTATAAAGGAATTATTCTTCTAAATCATTCTTTCATACATAGTTTTTTATTTTGTCTGCAACAGTATATGTTTATTAACATTTAGCAGAAGCTGTTTGAATAAATATATACTACCAGCCGTGCCCGCGACTTTGTCCACATGAAATAGTAACTTTGGATAGAAGTTTTAATTATTTAGGCTGTTTATTTATTTATTTTACAAATTGAATAAGATATATGTGTACACAATGAGCTTATTAAGGTATTCATAATAATTATATCCATTGCATATTGTATTTTTATATACTTATTTGAGTATTTATTATAGTTACTTAACGTTACGTATTTTTATAGTTACTTTGCATTATCAAATTAATAAGTTCTATAAAAATTAATTACGATACATCCACATAGCTTTTCAAACCCCTTACTACCTTTTACAATGCATGTCATTGAAAAAGGTGCATTCAAGGCAGTCAATATGTGTTGTAAGTGTTACTTTGCTGCAACACTCCCTAAAACCTCACCTAACATCAATCTCCCACTCTCATTCCCACTCCTACACTCACTCCCATTCCCAAAAAGTCAAAGAATAAAGTTTCATTGTTCTAGCTTCAAAAATCACGAATTTCCATACAAACTTTCATTCCCATTTTCAACCCTTAATAAGGCTTTTTGGCATTAAAATGTCCTTTCTCAGGCTCTAGAATATCAGAGTATAGAATTTCATTTAAATCGGTTCAGTAGTTTTGGCGTGAAAGCCAGACAGACAGACAGAGTTACTTTTGCATTTATAATATTAGTAGTGATAATGCCCAATATAACTATTCCACGAGGGCACAGCTAGTAACTATATGTATAAAAAAAGGCTGACCTTTTTGCCATAATCTAACACAGCTTGTTGTGTGGTTAAGTTTAATCTTCTGGCTGCTTCTGCACATGGTATCTTTTGATAGGCCTTCTCAATGCATGCAGCTATTTCACCTCGGACTGTATCTAACAGTGTATCCATGAACAAAGTGTAACTTTCAGCTGGTACATTATCCTAAAGTAAAGAGGCACATTAATGTTTATTTGATAAACTGTTATTAATCTAGTGTTTTACACCTTTTAAAAATATTTTCTTACAATAGAGGTCAGAAAAGTATTAGGTTCTCTTGATGGAAGGTGAACCAACAACTCATCCAAGATGTACAAAATTGTAGAATACTTTAAATAATGATTACATGATTTCATTGGTTATATACCATCATAAAATATCATCTATTTACCTTGGCTAAAAATATTTTATTGTAACTTCCTTCCATAAGGTACTGTTCCAATGCAAGAGGATGCTTTACATAAGGATCAGCTCTGATCACATCTACAGGAAGGCGTTCAAGTTCAGTGTGAAATTCAGCTACACGATTTTGTGCCAACAAGAATAACAAGTTTAAACCAAGAAGTTGGTACATAAATGCAGATTCAGGCAGGTGATCTCTAAAATTTTCAATAAAAGATTTACTTGAGTGATTATAGCTTAATTTTGATGAAACATGACAAAATATCATACTTATAATCAAAATAATAGCACTTCAATTGAGACATATATCGTTCAAAAGCTTTGACATCTTTAGCAGCTACTGCCCATTGGGCACCAATCTCTAATACGTCTCGCGCTAATATTAATTCCTTGTGATTAGCTTCTGCATTATTACTCGGCAGAAATGTTAAGCCCGTTAATGCTATCTGAAAAAAGAAAAGTTTTCATTATTCTCCCATTGTATACCGTGTAAAAGAGAATTCAGCTTAGTCATCATAGCTTGTACCTTAATTTTATTTAGAAGTTCAGCACATTTTTCCAGCTTCCTAGGTTTTTTAGCCCATTCCGTTTTTAAACTTTGATATAATGTTGCTGCGTCTTTAACCGAAGCCATTTTTTGAATTAAAATTATAATTCTATGTGTCTCACCAAGAAAATATCTTTCAATGGACTGTTTTCGTTTTATATGCTTTTATGGACAGATTATATATTATCCTTTCGATGTCACAGTATATGAATTCTGTGATGTGATTTTCACAGGCTATATTTCGTATTGTTTCGTAGTGTTTCCCCAGAATGCTTGTCTATGCTACTTTTACGCAGTTTGTTTCGTTACCAGGCCATTAAATATAAAAAAAAAAACAGTTTTTTTTTTATAAATTATGGTCTGGCAGTCGAACCTTTCATGCAGAGAAAAACACTATAGACAACGCAAAATCCATAATGCACAGCATAGTAAATTGTGATATTGTTTAATCTGTAGTTAACATCTACTACGTATTGTCGTGCTCTGTATAAGAATATAATCTAGGGTCGCGGTGATATCAATCCCGGCCAATCATTATCGTGATTTTTGATCATCACCCAATCACGAATGCGCGTTTTGCAATCCAATAGTGATTTGTCGTGGGGCCGTGGCCGGGTCACTGGATTGCTGATTTAAAAATTTCTCATTAGTTATTATGATCAGTGTGTGATTTTGAATGAAAATAATAAATAATTGCATTACAATATGTGAAAAATTTAATAAAAATGAAGTAAAGCGTTGCTTCAAATTCGCCATGAACTCCTCAGTTGTAGCCTGCCGGGAAATTTTTGATGAAAACAGTCAACCGTCTGCTGAGGGTTCGTATTCCTTTTGTTTGTTTCATTAATAAAATCAATAAATGTGACAATAAAAAATTTGCAGATTTTACATTATTAACTTTAATTTGTCTTAATTCTGAAACTTAATATATATTAACTACTTAAAAGTAATTAAATAAAAGTCTTCGAAATATTTTATCAATACAAACAATTACAATAGCATATATTAATTTTAGAAATATCAGATTATGCTTGCCAATTGGGAATTGATCCAGAAAGTGAAACCCATCTCCTACCATTGGCTCGGGATGGACTTATGCAAGCACTACCATCACCTTGGAAAGCATAGTATGTAAACTAATCAACACTAAAATAATGTTCTTGACTTTTAATTTAAACTATGATTGACACAAATATATTGAACCAAGTAATTTTAGATTTGCGGTTTTATTATATATATTATATATTCATATCTTATGTAAAAAACTTCAATTAAAATTTTCAAGCTTTGATGAGAAGTTGCAAAGTCATTACTATTACAATGAAGAGACCAAAAAGACTCAATGGGAACATCCTTTGGATCATATATATAGGGAACTTGTCAAAAAAGCAAGAGATGCCTCAGTGTTAGATGATACTTGTGCCTCAGTACAGGTTAGCGGTATATAAATTAGTTTTAATGTTATTTTAGTTTGTCATTAAAATATTAAGCCCAGATACATCTCATTAGTGTATATAAATAAATAAATGTCAACACATTAAGGTATGTGAGTTAGTTTATCAAAGCCAATGACATTCGTAACTCAGAAGTCATGGTCATTACCTGTTTGAAAATCTCTGGAATTATTGGTATTGAAGCATATTTAGCATTGCCTGCATGTTATTGTATTTTTCTTTATTTACTGTTTTTGTATATTTTTCCAATTACATTTCAGGAGCTATTAACATCAGAAGAAAACACAAAATTTCTTGAAAGAGTCGAGACAAAAGTAGAAAGTGATGAGGACGAATTAATAACAGACAGTGAACACCACGACGTCAAAGAAAATGTTACCTTATCACAGGGACAAAAGCGTCCTTTGGGTAGACCGCCCTTAGGTCCGTTGTCAAGATTTGAAAAGAAATTAGGTGATTTACGAATTTCACCCTTACGGCGGAGTATGGATAGTTCTTTAACACCTAAACCAAATTTACCAAGAAATCCAATGGACAAAGACCAGCTGCGTCCAATGGAAAGACCTAAAACATTATTTAAGCAACAATCCGAAATAATTGATCTGAAAATGCATGTGCTTACTAGTCCTGAGGAGGAAAACTTTAGCCCATTACTACTGACATCTGCAAAAGTTGACAAGGGTTTGCCCCTCTCTGGTAAATAATCTATAAATTTCTTTAAAATTTCTTAAATTATACTTAAAATATGTACCTTAATTCTTGCCGTGTTAACTCATGTTAGGAAAGGGCAACATGTTTCTGCGGATATCAAGATCAAACCTACCAAGTCCAGACACAGAGAAGTCTTCACACTTAGATTCAATTACGAAAAGTGATCCGCCTAAAGGAATTTTACGGGAAAAATCCTCTGATTACATACAGCGTAAGATTGAAAGCATTGTCACTGGAAACCCAAAACAAGCGACAAGCTTTGATGAAGACAAGAAAAGCGTTAGGTAAATTATCATACCAACTTTGGCTTTTCTGCTTTAATTATTTATATGACAGAATCTGTGTTTCTTTCAGATTTCAGTTAGAAAATCTTCCAGAACCAACTGTCAGTCCCGGCTCGAATAGTTCATCAGAACAAAATGAGGCACAGAGTTCAATAATAACTGCACCTGGCCCCAATCATCCCCTATCTGATCCTTTCTATATTCCTTCATTTAAACCTCAAATGCCGTCTTTGACTACACATGGACTTTCCTCAAATTCGCCTATTTTATCTTTTCCTAAAAGTCAGCCCCTAGCCAATGTGCCACTCAACTCCATTGTATTATCACCGTTAGCTGGAAGGCCACCTATACCGCCAAGAATTGACAGTCCAAGAGACAAAAATGTTTCTGGTTCAGAAAAAGATTCACTTGGTATGTAACATGATGTGTATATATATCAATATTATTAAGAATGGTTTTTTTTTTATCTTCGGAACGTTTAGAAGATTTTGCTAAAGTTGATTGTCTTTTTAAAACTTAAATTTATTGGACATAATTATAGGTTTATCATAAGAACTGTTGTTATAATATATAAAAGATAATTATTTGTACATTGCTCTAATTGTACATTCATGTATTAGACAGTGAAAGTCGCGATAGCCGCGGTGTTTCTCCTCGTCGGCGGCTTGTCAAACCTCCCGTACCCGATTACATCAAGCCTGGATTGTTCCAGAAAAATTTTCAAAAGATTTCTGATTTAGTGCATAAACCAGATATTGAAACAACATCTAGCAATCTGGAAGAACCAGTCTCTGATAAAGAAATTCGCCCGAGGTAATCTTAATAAATTGTAAATATTAACTATTTTACGGTTCTTAAATTTAAAATTATTTTAATATATTTATAATATTATGATTTTTCTTTCAGATCACCGCTTATTCCGCAGACAAAAAAAATATCAATTAACTTGATGGAAAGTATTGAGTCTGAAACGTCAATTGATTCACCGGATAGAGAATTCGCAAACATTGACCTTAACGATTTTGATGGTGCCAATGAAAATCAGAATGAAAATACGAAATCAAGTGATAAACAAAAAGAGAAATCTCCGAAAGTGCCTGAAGATGGTTCGGAGAAATCGCATTCTAAGACTGATTCCATAAGAAACTCTGATATGCCAACGTCTTCAATTAAAATTTCAAAACTAGATTGTATAAAGTCGACTAAGTTCGCGCATTCCGATTCAGAGGGTTCTAGAAATAACGAAAAAGAAGAGCAAAAAAGTAGTATTAGATCTAATAGTATAGATATTCCTAAAGACTTGAGAACTACTTTAAAGCTGTCCCCTACCCCTAGCTTAGGGTCCGATAGACCGCCTAGGTTAGAATTAAATAAGTCTTGGACTAGTAGTCTATCTACATTTAAGCCTTTAAACAAATCTGGAACAGCACCATTGAAATCAACAGAGACGTTAGGAAAAAGCTTAAGCCCCAGACTAGATGGTGTAATGCTATCCCAAGGCAAATCCAGTTCTGATAACGTGGTTGTCGTATATCAGTTTGAAACCCAAGACGAGAGTCCAAAAATTAAGTCGCCGATTCCAGATATGGGAGTGAGGGAAATGGTGGAGAGAAATAAAGCAGATGAAAGAAGGAGACTGGAGTTGAGTTTGCAAAAAGAATTGGAGATGATAAGGATGGAGTTTAGTAGCAAAGAGAGAAGAATGAGAGCAGAGTTACAGACTGAGTTACGAGAAGCGGAAGAAAAGTTTTTAATGGACAAAACGCAGCGACTGTCAGAGCAAAATGAAAGGCATAAAAAGGAAACGGAAGAAGTCAGTCCTATTTGTTTTATACTTTTTTTTGTCGTCAATGATTATAAGATTAGTGTTTTAATAATCCAGAAAAATAAAAATTACTACGATAAGACAAATTTGATTACATACATTAACATTAAAAATATTACTTTTAGGCCCTACAAAGTAGTGAAAAAAATCATCGCCAAGCATTAGAAAATAGTCTAAAAGAGTTAGAGAATTATTATCAAAACGAATTGTCTAAAGCTCGCAGTCAACACGATAGCGACCTAATAAAAATACGAGAAGAATACGCCAAGAAACTCGAAACTCAAAAGGAACAATTGGAAATAGGTACAACAGATACATTTGGCGGTTTTCTAACCATTTCGCTCTTAAATGAAGTATCATTATATATTTCCTTAAAATAATATTTGCTGTTCTAGACAACGAGCGTGCCCTTACCGAAGTCCGTGATCAGCTCCAACTGGCACTGTATAAAGAGAAGTCGCAAATTCTAGAAGAGAACAGAGCTACCATTGACTCGTTGAGGGAGGAGCATTCAGCGAGAATTGCCGATCTCAGACATGATTACAGAGCTGAGGTATAAATTGTAGTTATGACTAGTATTTGTGAATGCAAGAAGAAATAATTTGTGCTAAAGTTAACGTTCATAATACAAATAAACTACTTTCATGCTTTTGATCCGCGTCAATGTCGTCTTATACTGGTTCATAACGTAACGAACTTAAAAACCACTACTGCTACTACAAATATACTGGCAAAATTATGTACTCGTCTAACCTGCGATCAGAACTTTAGAAATAATGAATGTCACAGCACTTTCAAACTTGAATATAACTGTCTGTAGTTTACGCGTGTAGTACATCGTGAAAACGACACTTAAACGGTTTAAACGCAAAATATACTAGTTAACTTATTTGAAGTTTTGTCAAATACCAACTACTACGAAAAAGATGGCGCTAGCGAAGCAGTTTTTACTTTGACATTAGAGACGCCCTCCATCTTCAGCCTCAAAGCATTCGAAACGACGAGCCGTAGTTGAAATATTTTTTAATATTTTGCTTTTTAAACTGTTAAACTTTGACATAATTTAAAATATATTACATCAATTGATTATATGCGTGCATGGTAGCTCAATTGGTTAGAGCAGCAGCTTTTGAAATTATTAAATTCCATTTCTAGGTAGAACGACTTCGCAGTCAGCACGCGTGTCATTTAGAAGAGTTGCGAGTGCGGCTGTCCGGGGAAAGAGCAGCAGCCGCGGTCAGGCAAGACGACAGAGCTTTGCACGACAAGTACCGCTGCCTTAAAGAGAAATACGCAAGACTGAAACACGATGTCAAGGTTGTAATTATACTTTGTCTCATACAGGTTGATAAGTTTCACACATGCCCGCCATTCAGTAATAAAATATGGTTTACTTTGTTTATTTCGGCATCACTAACGCCATCTAGCGTTGAGCGGAGGAAACTTTGTGTTAGATCGCTAGGATCGATGCGGAATCTTACAGCCAATCGGGTGCTGTGGTAGCCGAAGGCAGAAGCCTCAATCTACCGGAAGATACCGTGACATTAACTTCAAAAGATATTAAATCGTATGTGTATTTATCTAAAACCCCATAATCGTTATTTAGTGTGTGTGTGTGTGTGTGAATGCTGGGAGCTGCCTCAAAACCTGTGAATCTGGTAAGACTTTCAGTATTCGGTCTTGGCGATTAAGCTGAAGTTTTTTCCGTAGTGTGCGAACCGCACAATGTTGTCAATTCGGTGTTTTAATAACTTCGGTTTTTCATGATTAAATGTGTTTCCAAGCTCTGCTTTGAAAGATTCTTAGTTCGAATAAATTGTTTCGGTCGGGCAGGATATAGATGTTTAATCAATTATTTGCCTGAAAATAAAATCGATCAGAAACGAACACAGAAATAACGCCTCTGTACTACACAAAGGGTATGGGGCGCACTATGAAGTGTAAAAAATAAAAGGATACTTTTACATTTTTTAGATAACTTTAGAGCGTCGAAACAAGCGACGCGAAATGAGTATGACAACGGGTTCCGAAACTGAGAAATCTAACAGTCACAAAGCGACACAATCCTTAGAGAGGTATGTTACTCAGTGTACAGTAACAACAAGCCGTTTTGTCACCATTTCTGTTTTAATTATAAAATAAAAATGAACAAAAGAATGTGTTAGTTTGGAACTTAATTTATCTTTGAGGTTCCTCCAGCTTCTTAGCTTTCGTGCAATATACAACAAACTCCGATCATACCGTATAGACGTCATATCACACAAAAATACAATAAAATAGATGTATGTGCCGGGACACCCTTCAGCTTTGGTTGTAGTAGGCACAACGCCGATTTTCAGTGTTGCCCCACGTTTCACATTTGAAGTAGAAAAACCAAAATATAACACAAAATGCTTACATTAAAACAATTAACAAAAACATAAAATTGTAAAAACATAATAAAAGATATCCACAAAAATACATTTCTTTTCTTTGCCTTTATTACCTTTATCGTAATGTTTATATTAACCTATAATGCTAAATTATATTTGTATTGTTTGTGTGTTTTTTTTATCCTGTCTATTTATGCTTTTCCGCATTATTATTTTTATTCAAGGTGCAAAGAAGTTAATGAGACGTCAGTGAGCGCCATAATAGAGACGGAGCCACCGAAACTTCGCATCAACAATAACCCAATTAAGTACGACAATGAGACTTCCTACTCCGAAAGCAATGCACCGAAGTCAGACAACAATAATGAGGAGTGGAAGAATAATACGGTAAGTTTCTATATAATGAATTTTACATGTTATTGCACATGATAGTAAGTAATTTGGACAAGCTCGGGCTTTGAACTGGGATGCACTGTACTGTATCCGTGCTACTGTATAACCAACGGTTCAAGGACTGTGTCGGCCATTTTATTTTATTTGAATAGATTTTTAATTTATACGCCATCGTGTGAAATCATACCATGTGAAAAATAATGCAGTGTTAAAATATTGTGTTGTCATTTAATAAGAGTATTATGAAATTTTATATATTTTTTTTATTTTTTCATAATACTATAGGATAATTAAGTAATCATGAGATCAGATAAATAATTTTACGTGCGCTTAATATATTAGGTTACGATTTAACAGCCGGCGGTGACGTCACTTACGTCTGCACTGAAACAGTCGAGGGTCAGACGCGCTGGAGTCGCCTTTAGGGAACCACCGAGGCGTAGTCGGGATAGAGAGAGAGACACGGGTAAGATATGTGATATCCGATTTAAAAGTATATATATAATTAAGTTTTCAATTCGTTGTCTATGGATGGTACGGAAATAATGATGTTATGAAGTGATTTATATTAAAATTATTTTTCGCGTCGACGGCTGCTGAGAATCAGTCTAGACACTTAAAAAAGTTTTTTTGTAGAATTACCTTTTCATATTTTAATTTGTTAAGATTTTGTATACCACAAGTTGTTTTCAATTTAACAGAATAATGATAATCTGAAGGTGTACTTTTGATATCTGCGCAGGCGTCGCTACCGACTGTCAGGATTCGTCCGATGCCACTACAGCAGATGAAAAACCTAAGGAATCAGTCAATGGTTAGCACATAGTATCCCTAACATTCTACACTACGTATTTCCGATTCAAATACATAATATTTTTTTTTACTTTTAGGTCCTATGCGCCGTAGATTCACGAGGTTAAAATCAGCTTCCACGTCAAGATTAAACTATTCGCCCAAGTAAGAAATGTTTTTTTTATTCAATGAAGTGGAAATACGTATTTATTACGTATTACGTAATTATTTTGTTTTGAAAAGAATATTTCTCAAAAGTAAGAAGTATTCATAATAAAAGAATATCAGTTATTTCAAATGTGAATTAATTTCTCAGACGTGGTGAAGGCTGGGCAAGCCCATTGGAGTCACTTCGACAGCAACTTAGAAAATTAGACGACTTAGAAGACCAGTTTCCAGATCTCGCTTGTCAGCCTGCCTATAGTTTACGATATCCTTTCGCTGAATTCGGTAATTATGGCGTACACAAGATCATAATGGCGGCCAACGACAAAAGTAATTTTTGGTGTTGGTCTTTAATTTGCTTTACACGTTTGACTTTCATTTCACTTAAGTACGTTTTAAAAGAAAACTTTGGCATATACATTATGTATGCTGTAGGAGGTTAAGGCTTATTGAAACAACTGTTAGGTACTGAGTAGGTATATTTCTCTACTTGTGACTCTACTAGAACTGAAACTCGAAAATGGGGTGTCGGCGTTTATATAACAACTTACAAGTACTCTGTTGACTTTTTAAAATTAGTTTTTGCACCAGTATCAATTGAGCTTCTTAATACATTTTACAAACTGGTCTAGAAAGTCAATTCAATATCCAACATATGCGTACGTAAATTCCATGAATAATATTACCATATTTTAGGGTTTTTTGATTTTATGTATGTTTAACTTAAGTGCAAAGAGGAAAAATTAAAATAGCGATTTTACTAAAATTTTAAGATAAAAGCAAACAAATATTGTTTGTTTACAAATCAATTTACTCACTTTGAACATTCAGGTCCTGTAGCTACAGCCGATACTCCGGAACTGGAATTTGTCCGTCACCGTGCTTTGGTGGAACGTGAAGGAATGCGCCGCGCGAGAGCCGTGCTGCGCCGGCGCAAGGCTGCACTAAAAGAGTCTCGGGCGTCTCTCTCACCGCATAGGGCTGCTTCGGTAAATTATTATAGAATTCTTAAAACGTTGGAAATTTTTACTGTATGTTGTAGGAAATATCTAGGTGTGGTTAGCGGTTCTCGTGCATTAGTAAACAAATTGTATGTTGGTTTATAGTTATATTTAATTAGGTACTTTAATATTCATTGAAGTGATAACTAGTTTAAACAGGTTGTGGATTAGTATGTTATTTTTGTTCACGGTATATTACGAAATTGTTGTGTTCATGTTATTAAAAGCGGTAATATAGTGTATTCAAATATTAGATTATAATATTATTAGACTCGATTTGAGCAAGACTGAAATTGCAAAGTTTTAGCGATGCTAAACGCGGTTCTAATAAAGCTCCTAACAAGTCTAGCAAGTCCTAAACATGTATTAGTCATAATAGGAGGAGCGTGAAACGACAGAATTAGAGGTGGCGTTACACCGCGCTCGGGCCTTGCTCGGTGAGAAGGAGATAAGGCTGCGACACATCGAGCGCGCCCTGCGCAAGCTCGCAGATGCGCATCCACCCCCTCTCATTCAGGTGGCGTAGGCTTTAGGCACGGTCTTTGCCTAGGCAGTGTATTATTTTGCAATTATAAAAAAAAACAAAGCATTTCAAATATTATTAATTATTTGCAATTACTTTCTGTAATGCGTTTCTGGCCGGTTTGTGGATTCACTTAATATTTAATTGATTTTACTACAATATCTGCATATCTAGTTCATAACTATACGCTATTTATACAGAAGGGGTTTTTCTATATATTTCTATGTTTTCTGCACCAGCTTGTCTCTTAAATTATATTTTTATTAAAAAAGACGGTCGTCTGTTTCAATCTTAAATTGTATCGGAAATTATGCATTTAAATACAATAGTTAACTTTACTTCACGAAACGATTAAAATGTGGTGGTGATAAGAGAAGAAAACCTGTTTAATTTTGTGTATCGTTTTGTCATTGTTATGCCACTGTTATTTATCGTTGATTATTATTTATATCTATGGCTTTGTTCATCTTCTTTTCTTCAAATTAATTATCACAGTAGTTTTTAGTTCAATGCTTGCTTAAAATTCTCTCGATGCTGCCTGTCAGTATGTTCTTCTCTTTCCTAATACAAAATAATAAGGATAATAAAAGCGAGTGAGCATAAAAGCTAAGACTGTCTGAAACCAATTCATTTAGATAATAAAGAAACAGCTGCATATTTCAAACCCTTGGAAATAAAAACTGAACTTAAACTTGTTAATAAATAACTCTCTTAAACAATTTATTTAAAGGTTATAGATATAGATTAATTTTTAATGAAAAATATTCTTAGGAAGGAACAACAAGCGAAGGCTCTTCTGGAAGTGACGGTAGGAACGAAGTGGAAACTGGTGGAGCGGTGTTGCGTTCGCTCCGGGCTCTACATGCTGACGTTAGAGATATTTGGCGGGCTCTGGAAGTGAGAAGACCTAACACCGGTCAGTATTAACTCAAAATATGTTAAAACACACAATTTACATAAAATCCTGATTTTCTCACAAGGTTACAGGAAAACTCTTTGAGGCACTGGATTATATATTAAAGTAATGGCTTGCCAAACTTCAATTTGAAGCTAAAATTAATGAGAATCCTAAAAATATGTAAATGCACAGATTAAAATTCCTTTAGTTTGACATTTACGTAAGGTATGTGGTATAAGCAAAGTCAACGACAATAGAACGAAATGGCTCGAATGATTTGTATAAAAAATATCTCTATTTTGCAAACAAAGTGATAAAAGTTATCCACCCCTAACATTTTTTTTATAATGTGACATTAAACCTTATATTTTCAACTTTCTATCGCCAACCCTTATTTTAAGTTGTAAGTAAGTTGTTCCCCCGTAGGCGTCTATCGGTGTCACTTTTCCGATAGTATACAGCACAGAGTAGGGATAAGACCAAAGCCAGTCTTAACCTTACACTAAAAAATTCCTAAAATATTTTTATATGACAAACCGCGTTTGCCGGTTGAGCTAGTATAAGCTATACTTAATGTTTACCAACGAATACCCTTTGTCTTTTTTATTACGTCGCTAATATTTTGTATGATTTTCAGCGTCGCCTGAAACCAGTTCTTGCAATGTCCCGACAACTTCACACACTCGAATGACACTGTCAGCTGTATGTATATAATTAATTATTTATGAGGAACATTCGAATTGTTTTCGATTGATAAGCTTTTAACTGTTAACGAATCTTCTAACAATATCTAACATCGCGTAGTATTTTGCACCGCATTTCGGCTTTTTTTAATAGATAGAGACTGACAACCTTGGGATTCAATTGATGGAAGGTGAAGGAACCCCGCCTTATAACATCTCAGGATGAGCTGTCTCAACATCTCGAACTGCGACTAAACTTTGTGTTGTGTTGCGGTTTTGTATATTATATATGTTTCGAGAAAAAATCCAAATAAATATAATTACATTCTTTAACATTTACCCGGGATTCGAAAGCGAGACCTCCACTCAAGCAATGTAGAACAACGAGTTTTATCAGTGTAATTCATGAAACCACGTTTTTTTAAAGCCGGACCCCATTCTACAGGACAATTCGGATAGTGTTACTGAAAAAGCGAAAGGATTGCGTGCGTGGCTCCAGACTACACCATAGATAGTTTAATTATAAAATGTAACTAATTCAACGGATTAAAACGCGATTTATTATTAATAAGAATAATTTTAAACGCTACGCAATATCTCAGGTTCTTTCTTAATCCGTTGAGTTTGTTTCACTAGTCAATATAGATTCAAGTTATCCACCTAAATCTTTCGTCACTGTTTGATAGACTTCCCTATATCATAGTCTATCGTCTAGTAGTCGTTTAATAATTAGCCTGATGGAATTACGTAACGTAAGAGTAATCGTTCGAGGTAATCACGTTTTTAATAAACTACCCTCGTCTGTATATTTGACGCATAACGATATATAAAGTTATCTAATGGTAAAACATTTTACTGTACTTTGTGCATACATACCTATAAATTTTTTACATCTTATAAGTCTTAAGCACAATACTTATAATTATTTAAAAACCTAACTGAATTCCTGTATGTTAATTTGAACATAAAAACAATTGAACAACAAACGTTTATTCTTCTCGTCAAAATATATGTCTTATCTATCCTAATATATAAAGCGGAAGTGTTTGTTTGTTCGAACTCGCTAATCTCAGCTACCGGTTCGAATTGAAAAATTAGTTTTGTGTTGGTTAGCGTATTTTTAGAGGAATAGGAGCGAAGAAACAGCGGGAAATGTTCAAGAAACGGGGAAAAAATATGTACAAAAGAATGATTCCTCTTTAAATGATCTTAAAAAAAAAAGATTAGCTTGCAAGAACGACGGGTCGCGACCGATGTCGTGGGTAACAGCTTAAATAAAAAGATGAAGAGGGGGTTTGCAAAATCAAATTTTGATGCCCAAAATAACCATTCTACGCTGACGAAGTCGCTAACACAGCTAGAAGTTTTAACAAAAGTCGCCCATAATAAGTTTAGTATCGATGTCACAATTTATACGCACATATTATTTTGAGTTAGTGTAATACAAGAATTATTGTTAAAGTTATTTTCGTTAAAAAACTTTTTTTCTCATATAAAGCCTTATTTGTGGTAGTACGGGTAAAAATAGTAGTGAGAGGTGATGGGAACGGATTAAAAGATTGACGGCGGTTCTGTGATATTATAGTCTTATTCTTCATTCATTCACTATAAATGTCATTCATATCATTAAAACATCGCTTACTTAACTCTGAATTATTATCATTTTTAATATTTACTTTTATTATGCCAATTGTAAACTATGGAAGGAAACTATAAAATTTTATGAAGGTTTAAATAAATATTGGAACAAATTGAAAAATTGAAAAAAAACAAATAAAACAAACCAGCTCGAAAACAGAAATACGAGTAGAAATACGAAATAAAAAATATATCTCGACTACCATTGTAGTCGAGATATATTTTTTATTTCTATCATATTATGTTAGGTGAAAGTCTATTGTCGTTCAAAATGTCATCCAATTATCCATATAATTGGATGACATTTTGAAATTTTTACTACACATTTAATATCTAGATTTACTAGAAGTCCATCTTTCAGACGAATTATAAATTGAAATATGTTATCCTAAATATTTTTAACGACACAAGCCCATTTCTATCAAACTGCTCTAATTTTATTTTGTTACCGCGTTATGGATCGCTGTGTGATCCCTTTAGGTATTAAAACTAGTCTTTCAATAGAAGCAGGATTTAAAAAATATGACAAACCGCTATGCCTAAAAGCAATAACTCTGTGTATATAGGAGTTTTAATTAAGAATAAACAATTAGTAAAGAGATAATATGAATCAATTACCATTCTACGTATACATATAGATAGAAAATCGATGTTCCATTTTCAGTGTCGCTTGCATAGTAACATGTAAATGACAATAATATTTCTAGTTCTGGCAACTTTTATGGTTTAAGGCGATCTTATCGTTTCTGGTTGAATATTTTGCATTCCATTATTTTTATTTAATTATATTTAATAATTTTAATAGAAATTGTCGTTTTCGGTAACTTTCGATTTTTTATTACGACCTAATTCTGCCTTTATAATGTTTGGTGCATATTTCAAAGTAAACTATCATAACTGTTCCTTCTTTAGGTATTATTCTATTATAGGTTCGAAATCTAGTCATATTGTAGTTGTATTAGATGTCATTTACTACGAGTATTCAACAGCTACGTGTGGATTATGACTTTTAAATTTTCATAACATCACAAAAACAGTTCAGTTATGTATAGTGAAATTACCGTTTTTTAATTTTGTGATGATGCCGCCTCTTTGTCATCAGGATCATCATGGATTTCCATCATTTAGTTGTCTCTATGTTATTGTTGTCTAACCACTTTAGTCTGTTGAATATCTGTCGTAAAGGAAGAATAAAAGACATTTACACGTAACGTCCAATTATTTTATTATTCACACATTTATGAAAATAATCTTAACTTGCTTTTTATTTTTCGGCGATACTTTATTTACTGAGTTATGAGACTGTTCAACTTTATGAGAGTATTAAATATTACTTATAACAATGTTAATTCATAGGTTTTAACAATTTATTTATAAATAAGCCTTCATCTATGACAAGTTTATTGAAAAAAATGTTGTGTTCAAACTTACCAAAAAGTGTGTATTGTGTACCATTGTTATTTGATTCAGTAGCTGTTCAGTTACAAAAATAACTTATTAAAATCTGAACTTATTGTTTCAGCGCCAAAGTATTTTACAACATTACATTCCATAAAAATGGATCAGCTATTTACCAAAGTCATTTTTACTGCGAATATTGGTGACAACTGACAAGTCATATAACTAAATACAAATTATATTTATGCTTCATAAGTACACATGTTAGTAAAGTGATTCGATATTCCCTTGGATTTCATTAAATTAAGTAATAAGCACTTGTTCGAGTACTTTGGTTCATAGCTGATAAAGTTGTAGTTACATTGGACTATATATAAGAATATTATTGTCTTCAGTCATAGGGTTAGTGCATTGTAACTTCGACTTTAATCGTTTAAAACGATATCAAGAGGAAAATAAAAAAATAAACACCGATTTTAAGGTGTTTCCTTTAAGTATCCTCTATGTGTTGCATTGCTCCTTCATTATCAACTGAGTCGATGGTAAATTATAAAAATGGCTCCAAAGAAAATATTTGCGTTTATGTCTGAAAAGTTAATATTGATATTAGTATCTTTTTAATGACTTATTTAAAATTTACCAAGAGTGTGGTCTACCTTTGGAACTAGCAGCGTTGTACACAGCGGGTTTCCCTGTGAATGTCTCATTGCTTCGATTAATTTCTGGTAAACATTCAACCGTCATCGAAGGTTTTGTCTTTGTGAAGGTTAAGGAAGACCAGGTCTGCCATAGTTTGGACGATGCGTTCCATTCCCGACGGGTGAAATCTGCTTGTGCCTAAAAATATACAATCAATTATAGTAACACCACAGGGTAGAAAGATTTTAAACTTAAATGAGATTAAATTTTAAATTTCTGTTTTATTTAAACATAAAACAGAAATGAGACAGAATATAAAAAAAGCGACTTAATGCATAAAGACAGGCAAATAACATATGAAAAAAAAGGTTCTACCAAGTAGCCGTAATCATTTAATACATCATTGTCTGGTCATCATTGAACGAAAGTCGAAGAAATTGACGAAACGAGTATCACAAGTGGAGTAGTAGGTAAAGAGTTATTATTTCTTTATCATATCGACCTTTTCGTCTCCAACTGTCCAGAATATAGACGGGGCTGGTAATCCTTGAGATGAACAGTTCAACATAACCCGAGGAGTTGCAAGGTCCTCTGATGGAACTACCTCCAAATGAGCGTTACTTGGGGGCACTGGAAATAAGACGGAACTTATTTTTTTACTTTAGCGTGTGCAAAAATTTTATTTTCTTGCATCACATAATTTACGAAGTTTTGTATTTTTAATTTAAGCAACTGACCGCCATGACATTGCCGTAAGCACTAGATATCCTGTGTTCAAATCCCGGGGAATCAAATTGCTTGTGTCGAGCACAGCACACAAGCAGTTTACTAATTTTTTTTAAGTCTGATCAATTTGCTTGTAATAAAAATCGATCAGTCAAAATTATGTTCGCCTTATGCACCACAATAGTGAACATTCTATAGAATTAAAGTGTCAGTCTTTGATTCTACTGCTTACGTGAATTTCAACAATACTTTGTTTGAATCTTTATGAGGTACCGAGGCCGACCGACCGTATCGAGCATAACTGGTAGAGCAACAGGACGGAACGCTGACGATGGCGGTTCAAGTCCTGCCCGAGTCGAAATTTACTTTCGATTTTAAAATTATAATGCTTTGTTTCCTAACGAAGTAGGTATTAGTTTCACGGATAACACGAGAACGGCTGATATACCTATCCCAGTTGATGCTAATCTGAAATTGTTGACCTCACGTCGTATTTCGGCGCGAACGGAATTCAATGGTTTCAATGAAAAGATAAAGTGGGCTACACTTTTGAAAACAGGTTACATTTACACAACTCACGAAACCCAAGGGAAACATACTCGTCTAGTAAAATGTATTTTAAGCCCAAGAGTAAAATAGCGAGTCTAGAATTGTCTAATGTTAAAGTATATAGTTATATATGGGTAGTATATAATTTTTTGCATACTTATTGTATAAACGCTTTAAAGCGTAAAATATATCGGGTCACATATTTTAATAGGCCGAACATTTCGTCTGCTGTAAAGGTTATTTAAATGTATAATCTAAAATGTTTCTACTTTTAAAGCTAAACGTTGAAGGTCGATAAATGCCTGGTGCTGGTGGAGAAGATGTACCTTGTGGTTGACATTTTGGTTGTGTTAAGTGAATCAGACAGTTATATTTTTGACACACAATCGTAGAGCACTATTGGAGCATATATTTAAATATTATCGCGTTCACTCACTTAAAAAATAAAATGTTTCTTAACGTTACATATCTTGCAAATAAAGTCTTTTACCTAAAGACTTAAGTACATAGTCCATTTTCCCAATGCGAAACATGGGTCTCTCGCCCGAAACTTCGCAGGTGTAGGTGGAATCATAAATAGGTGGTTGGTATGGTTCCAACGTGACAATACATCTTCCGGATTGTCCCCGTTCCGATGTGACCGTGCAGTCTACATCCATCGTGTGGTCTGGCGTGCGAAATACTTCCGATTTTGACGGACCGTGTTTCTAAAATAAAAGCAATTTCTTAGACATCATGCATAAAACGATTTACTAGTTCAATGGGCCAAAATAATAGCAATTTACATAAAAAGTTATAAAGTTTTTAGAGATTTTTTCTGAACCATGTAGGACTCTGCCTGGAAATTTCATCCGGGTTACCATCGTCCACGGATGACGTAAAATTTATTCGAGTTTCAGTTTTACTCTGTGGATTTCGGAATGTTCAAAATGAGTTGATAAATGGTGTGATGCGCTGCTGAGTGTGACAAGCATTCAGCAGCACAGCTGAGACGGGTATCGATTGCTATCTCTAATGTATAGTTTATTTATATATATTTTGTTATGCATGCAAGTTATATACGTTATTAAAAGTTTAGAATTTGAACGTATGAAATTTAACACGAGTTGATTTTTTTACGCACAAACTACGCTTTATACTGCGCATTTAAGTGTATCACTTACGCCCTTATAAAACGGGAATGAAGTCCCTAAATGAGCAATTTACCAGTTAATTGTAAACGTCTCATCTATTTAGACTATCATATCCCACAATAAGCAGGAACCGACAGTAAGACGGATGGTCTGTATTAGGCACTTAAAATGTGAATAAATGATGACTCAAGAGGCTCTCAGACGGAATAAAGAAATGATTAAATTAGCAATCTTTCCTTTTTAAGAGACAGTGAAGGGCTGTCAAAAATACTTGAAAGAATAATCATGAATTAATGACTGAATAATCAAATGTTAAAGGTTACTTACTTCTGGTCTATAGATCATGAATTGCTGCCCGTTGTTGTAAAGTCGTACTGACTGTAAGGTGTCATTGGACAAGGTTTCCCAACCACAAGTCACCTTCCAACCTAGATCGGTTTTCCACTCGCTCTTCACGTTCACTTCAATACCTTGTGCTGCTAGTATTACGACTGTAAATAAAAATTAAGAAATAAAATTATAAATGATAACAACATGTACTGTGTAATTTTCCGACAGTCGAATATTTTTAAAACCATGTTAGATTTCGTATCGAAAATCTGAAATAGGCCGTAGGAATATCGAAATTCCGTTCTGGTCACGAAGCAACGTCGACAGAAAGAAAAAAAGCCACGGAATATAAATCCGCTTTTCAGTTTGAATCAGAGTTCATATCCGAATGTGCAAAGTAGATCGACAGAGTATTTTCAGAGGAATTAGAAAATTTCATCAAGTTGCATATGATTTTGAGCTTTACAAGTAATTATATTAATATTTCTTGTACAAACGTAAAACTACAAAACTTATATCGTGATAAGCAAGTAAGCAATTTAGTTGAAAACCCTTTTTCAAAGGAGCTTTATTTACATAAGTAAATAGTTGAACCTGCGGAGTGTGGATTAAATAATTAATTATGCAAATATGAACATGGTTCTATTACATTATGGTCACTGGTTGCAGTAAGCCGTACTTTGCGTTAATCGCTATTTTTAAACTATAATTTACAGAACTGTATTTAAGCTTTATTAATTATTAGCTGTGACAGCGACTTCGTCCGCGAGAACGTTACGTGCTCAACGTAACGTTGGTAACCCATCTAAATTCGTTTTTGCAAACCCCTTCATCTTTACAAACTGAAGCTGTTACCCACGATGTCGGTCGCGTCGCGCTACCCTTCCTTCTTCTAATCTTAAAAGATAGATATAGTGCCGTGGGCTTTTTTTACAGCATTTAAAGAGGAATCATTCTTTCATACATATTTTTGGGTATCTTGTACCGTTTTTGTAGTATTTTTTCTCGCTGTATCTTCGCTTGTATCAGTCACAAAGCAATGTTTTATAAAATATTACTTTCCTAAATAAATGCTCGAAACAACACAAAAATAAATTTTCAATTCGAACCTGTAGGTAGTTCCTGGGATTAGCACTCTTCTTCTTTCTTTATATAGTATACGTATAGATTGGTTCTATGAACTCATGTTTATTATAGACGTAAATACGGAAATTTGTTACGGTTGTTTTAGCTATTTTAATATAACACGATAATATTTCCGTAGAAGGTTTTAATTGGGACAAATCAACTGTTAGCTTTATTTAAATTATCAAACTGTGTAGAGTAAGAGTAATCAAATTTAAGATGTTAATCTAATGAGAAAATCAAAGATTCGATTATGTGGCAGAAGTTGTCATTATCAAATGACATTTTAAATATTCTTTTACCGACTATAAAAGAAGCTTTTTTAACAACAGCGTCCGTTGCGATTCTCAACTTGATAATATAAAGCGATGCCACAAAATACCATACAATGTTAACGATAGCCACTAGTTAAATAAGTACAATTAACCGTACAAAATAAATACCGTCTGTAGTTTACGTGGGTAGTACACATTTAAATAAAACAGTTTAACGGTTTAAAACGCGATACGGTCACGGGGTTCTGCCGCAAAGCATCCGAAACGTGGGGCCGTAGTTTAAAATATTTTCAAATAAGTTTAACTACTTAACATACATCGCGTTTTAAACCGTTAAAGTGTTATATTTAAATGTACAGTGCACATTAAACTATATTATAACCGGGTCTGATGGTTTGGAAATAAAACTACCAGTACGTTGCCGCTAACGAATATGTTGCTATGCCACGACATCCGATTGTCACGCTATGCTAGCGCTTTTATCGTGAATACGCGATTTATAATGAATATTTATTTATTTATATGCTCTCAATAATCCGGAATTTATTTTGTTTAAAACCTAACGCGAGCTGACCGGAATATTACATTTCAAAATAAATTTATAAACGTTTTCATGACTCATAATCGAGCGGATCTCCAAAGTCTTCGTTCATAAGATCGCATTATTTCTTGTTAACTGTTAATATGCTGAATTGATGCGACGCGCGCTTCTTAATAGTTTATTATGGGGTACGTTATACGTACCTACTTTATTTAGGACAACGACGTTGGCACGATTCGTTGCTGTCTTTTAATAGTGATTCGCTTTAATCTTATGAATCCGAATTAAAAATCAACTAATTATCGTTACAAAAAGCCTATATATCTTGTTTTTAATTTTTGTACCGTTGTAATGATTTTTCTTATAACAATTTCAAGCTTATATACCTACATGGAAACTATTAACGTTTTAATGAAATAACTTTTAACAATAAATACAAAGAAACAATATAAAGTTATTTAGGTTACATCTTTCGGTTAAAACGAAAGACCTAAGTACTATTAGTATTAAATAAATATAAATAAAAAATAAATATAATCGCATGCCTCGCGCATGGATGGAAAGGGAAGACCCGTCCCATGGATTTACATACATGACATAGAACTGAGTTTAAAAATGTACTCGATAAGATGGAGAGAATTGTAGTAAAAATATACATAATACATAGTATTTGCAGAATCTGCAATGAATGTAATAGAAGAAAGAATTTACTTTTTAAAAATATTGAATAATTTATTTGTGTATAAACTCTATGTTGTAATGTAATAAACTCAAAAACAAAAGGCTTTGTTAATATGCTTATTGCATTAAAATATTATATGATTATAATAGAGGTATACCAACTTTACTACCCTTTTTCTAATTTTAGAATATATAGATTCTAGGTAGAAAAATTAATTAAGTAAAATATCAAAGCTTCTTTATAAGAAAACTAATGCTTTATATTAGAAACGTTAGGAGGAGTTCTTATAAAGACATACTTGACTGAAGTAATTGGCTCCAATTAGTTTTAATTAACGGACATCTGCAATTATCAAGCATGAGAAAAAAGCTATAACATAGGGCGAAATTAAAAATACAGAATTTTAATACTTTAGTGTTGCTAATAGTCAAAACAATACCTAATCCTTTCTTCTTTTTTATTTTTGAGCTTAAGAATTTTGTCAAGGTAAACAAATTTAAAAATAAAAAGATTTTACTCGTTCTTAATTGCAAAGCTTTTACCGATGTTTAAATTGGTGAAGAAGGGTCATAACTACAATAGATTTATCAACTCGAATCAAATGTCCAGGTACATAATTAGAATAATGACTACATATGACAACATTGTTTCCAAGCAAATGGATTTTTAATGCTCCGATACAAACAAATAAATAATTGTTACTTCATTAGCACAGTCGAAATTCTATCCATCTAAGAAACGACATTTGATTTGGATCTTTAACTGACATTATAGTGATATAAAAAAATCCTAAATTAACGATGGAAGTACCTTTCACTGTTGTTAGGGGCACAATACTTAATGTAATTCGGGTGTCCAAGGTTTTCGGTTTAGCTCCAGTTACAATTAAACCAGTTAACAATGGATTTCGCATTGCCGTGTCATGTACAGCCGCTTATTGTAGCTATATTGTGTACGCCATATTTTGTAAGTATAAAGCAAATAAGATAAACAGTATTTCTAGAGGTGTCTTAGCCATTTTATCTTTTATCTACATCCAATCTTTGAAAGTTCAAATTTGTTTTCAGTCTGCTTTTCGCTGACACATGTAACCTTAGAGGTAACCCTCGTTCCACCTGTAAGGGGCTTCAGTAGACTGCGTCGTGTTGGCGTGATGGACACCATTGTAATTTTTTCAGATCTCATTTTATTAATAATAATCTCCGGTCTCGGATTTTGTTACGGTTTTAAACGATATAAAGACATCATTCGAAATTTAGATGTCTTGAAAAAGGTAACAAACCAACATTAGTGTTTAGAAATTAATATATATATAGGACACGTTAGTAATGTTAGTTGAAACAAAGTATGTACAATTAACAAATAACACACATGGATCGTTTTAAACGTCGGTTTATCCTGAATTTCTATCAATTGAGGTACCGTTTGCTATATTCATTTTTAATCCAAAATCCACTTTAAAACTAAAAAACGAAATAGTTTCGATGATCTAAGTTTATAATATATATGACCCATTTTCCTTCTTTATCATCATAAAATATTCGTAATCGTTCTTGCAGCTTACTTCTAACCAGGCCTATTCAGAGACACGAGACGAAAATCGGGCAATTATTTTGCTGACGCTTTACGCAGGATTACGATTTTGTTGTCTTTTACTCAACACAATATTAATTTATATGGAAGAACGTGAGGGTAAGTATTACATATACCACAATCAATAAATATCCAGCGAAAGGAGCTAAAATAATGGTGCCCGTGTTGATTTATGCACTTTATCGCATAAAATAGTGAATCAATTTTATTGAACAAAATATTATAATTTAGAAAAAAAAAATAGAAATGCGACTGCGCATTTTGCCCCGTCTAGGCCCTAATGTCGTCGTTTGACATACTGGATACTGCACATAATTTACCGCGTACATACAAATCTTGTGTACTATTATTCTTTCGTATAATAAAGTTACCTAGAGTTTCTAGATAACTTATTATTATGATTTTTACTCCTTTCAGAACCCAGAATTATTATGCGTACAGTGTATGAGTTCCAACATATAATTACCACTATTTTAGAGTTTCAAATAATATTTATGGGATTCGAGTTTCAGAAGACTCTAGCATCAATAGCTGATGAGCTATCACATTTAAATGCGCAGATAAAAACAGGTAATTGATAGCTACGAATCTTAATAATTTAATTTATTTGTAGTTAAATACTGTCTATAGTTTACGCGAGTAGTACACATTTAAATAAAACACTTTAACGGTATAAAACGCGATATATTAGTTAAACTTATCTGAAAATGTTTCGGATGCTTTGCAGCAGCCGTGGTCACGGGGAGACCACGTCTGCTGCAAGTTTAACTAATATATCGCGTTTTAAACCGTTAAAGTGTTTTATTTACTTGTAGTTATCGTTCTACTTATTTAAACTGATTCAATATTTTAAATGTAGCAGTACTCAACGAAAGCGGTTGCACTGGCAGAAGTGAAATTTTGAATATTAAAGCATTTTTCAATTCCATTTAATTATCATGATTAAAATACTATCATTTATATGGTAAACATTCAATATTCATTTATCGCACTTTCGTCCACAATGATAATTTATACTACTTAAAAAATTCAAAATTGAATCCTCCAACGAATTGTCGATTAGCTACTGTGGGTCCTAACGCGACTTTAATATTTTCATAATTTACAAGAAAATAAGTATACACTTTAAAATAATCGAAAATATGTAATATCATTCCACATTTCAAAACTGTTTCTGCGCTTACTTCATTTCATCACTGCCTACCTTATTTTACTTTATGTGCCATATAATTTCGTTTTTTTTTTCTTATCTTTAATTTAGTAATAATTATTATAATTTTAGGTAACAAGGAAATAGTTATTTCAAACTCGGTACCATCAATCCGATCTTCGGCCACGTTATATACAGAAACGTGTGATGTTGTAGAACGGTTCAACGCCTGCAATGGCCTTCTTGTTTTTTCATTCATAATCTTGTATACTCTTCAATTAGTCTTCACTGCAGATAGTTTGGCTAATACTTTGCAATACAATAAGCTGAGTGAGTACTTTTTATTTCTCTGTGTAATTGTAATTTTGTAGTCACATGCGCTACTGTTCTTGGGGTCACATGTGTTTGTGGAGATCATGTAAGCTTTGCTAAGACATAACATTTAACGGTTCAAAACACTGAATATATTAGTTAAGTTGTTTTCAATTTAATAATTACATTCTACGTCAGACATTTGGGATGCCTTAGCATCCGTGGTTCTGGAGGGACTGTATGGGCGGTGTCTCTATTGTCAAAGTCAAATTGTTAAAAGTTGTTATAACCGTTACAATGCGATGATTGGAGAATCTAACTGCGTCCTTACAGAGCTCATTCCCAGAATCTAGTGTTTTATTTAAATGTTTACTATAGACAATACTTAATATGTAGTTTGTTCTTTCACAGATAGTCGGTTGGCAGTAAACTGCTGTTTAGATGTTATGTGGTTATTATTTCATAATATCAGAACCATCATTTTTATCCAACCGTGGCATAGAATATCCAAGGAGGTATGTGTACGAATATTTATCTATCACTACCATCATTTGGTATCATTTTATCTATTAATTTCAACTGAGACATTTTATCTGAACGTCTTTTTTGACAAAGTAAAATATCTTTTGCAATTATAAATTATTTATTTATAGTTTGTATTATTTATTACTTGAACGAACAAATATTCAATAATAAAATGACGAGCTGATATTTTGTAACAAGACGTATTATTCTCCATCTATCTATCTATTAGGTGTGCCAAATTAAGATTCAATTGGGCAAATTACTGCAAGGTCTTGCGGCATATGAGAAAGAAATTTTGTGGGAAAGCAAAGTTTTTTACACTGAGGTCATGATTAACAATGCCGAACTAAAGCCGCTAGGATTGTTCACCGTGTCACGTTATCTCTTCGTACAGGTATTTGCTCATAAAAAACACAATTTGTAGCAATAAGATACATAGGGGATACAGAAATATTACTGTGACTTTTGTGGAATAACACCGCATCACCTACATTCAGTAATTAAATGGATAGAAGTTTATTTTTAGTTTTTAAAACATCTTCTTAGGAAGCTTTTCATACTATCTAAAAGGACCAAGCGTTTTGCTTCCTCAACAGTCGCGATTGTGCAGCAGCCATATGTCAATGTAATTTGTGTGTTACTTTTCTTATATATTGTTAATTTGCATTGCAATGGCATTCCGGTGATCCACTTGATGCGTATGGGCCATAATTAAGTACAAAGGAATCCAAATTATCAATTGTGGTAACAAAGCCTACTTATAAAATTAGTACTCTTGTATTAGTATTAAAAATAACAACATTTGTTATTACAGATTATGAGCGTGGTGATTACTTATACACTTGTCGTCGTTCAGCTGCGTAACTAAAAAAAAAGAAATAATAAAAATATATATAGTTTGTGCTTTTTTCAAATGATCAACTAACTTGTGGTATCCCTGCTTTGGGCTTTCCGTTTTTCTCTTTAAAAATGTTGCTTGTCGTCTTACCTCAATTCTTATATAAAGCTTAGAACGAACGAGCTGCCATATTTTGTTCATGCATGACCACTTTCCGCCGGTTGTCGGCTTTTTGACAAACACAAAAGACTGTCTTAGTTACAGTAGTACACATTTAAATAAAACACTTTAACGGTTTAAACACAAAAGAATTTGCTTTACGCTGGACAGTGATCATTGTACTATCGTTAAACGTCCACATTTTGAACGACGGATCTGAGGGTGGCTTCACGTCTATGTTTGTCTAGCGTAAGGTAGTCTTTGAACTTTGATCTTCTACATTTTTCGCGTATTTATCGCACTATGGAAGTAAGTACTTCTATTTCAAGCATCCTATTACCTACTAACGTTTGCTGCACCTTTAAAGCACCTTGAAGAATTGTGCAAAATTACAGGTAATCGAGAAGTGTTGAAGTGTTCCTCGATTTCAATTTTTGTTCTTTCTAAGCCCTTAATAAGACACGTTGTAATAGATTTAAAATATTTTGTATTTTATAAGTGCACAAAAGTACATTTATCATATTTGATTTTTTGCCCTTATTCAAGTATTAATGTTATATATACTTATATTTGAATAAAACGATAAACTAAGATGATTTTTTATTTATTCTTGTATTTAAAAAGGTTTTTTTTCGCCTGAGATAGAATATTCTAGGATCTTTATATTACTAACGATGACTTGCGTAAAGTTATAATAAATTTCCATTTAAGAAAATCATTTAACGAATATCTCGAACCAATCTCGATAATAACAAATCATTAGTCATTTTGTAGCCTTAATGCAACAAATATATACATTTAAAAAATTTTATGTCTTTCAATCTAGGGACTAGATTGAAAGTTACACAGGTAGATGACATTCATAGATTACTTTGTCATTATAGCTTCACATAGAAGCTAATGTAGCACCGATTGTGTTTTTATCGTTCAAACGTGCTATCGTTACAAAAGTAGTAAGTAACTTCTAATATATTAATAAGTTTTGTTGAATATGACGAATTAGTTTTGATTATTTTGACGGGCTCGTTAGTGTAATGGTAGCAATGGATTCGAACCCCACCAGGTCTTAACATTTTTCCTTATTTTCCTGAAACATGTTGGACTTTTGGAAAAGTATGTCTGGAAATTGGGTATAAAATGTGTTTTAAACGTATTTATGTATGAATTTCAAGATCAAATTTATAAATTGATTAGAAACATGTTGGATCTGGTGGGGCTCAAACCTAGAGTCTTTATTAAAAAGTTTCATATAAACTGAGATTAAATTAAACACTCATTCACCGTAGAAAAACTAGGCCTGATTAAAAAACAGACTAAATTTAAAACACAGTCCAATAAAAAATATGACACTGGCACAATTAATAAACTAATCGTAAAAAAAATATTTATAATTTTAATAAGAAATTGATAAAGTATAATGAGTTTTGATTATATTTTTTTATGATAGAGGAGGTCAGACAAGCATCACTTGATAGTAGGTGTAATACCCCAGCCACATAACATCTTAACAAGATGCGCTATCTACCTATTAAGGTTTTGAATATTCGGAAATCCACAGACTTAAACGCGATTAAACTTGACGGCTTTTAATCTGTGGACGATTGTACTATGTGTTCAAGGTAAATAAAAATCGATCGTCGACTTAGTTACGATATGGATGTGTCGGGTCTTGTCACCGGCGCCTTGCTCCTAGTACTGCGAGTATCGAAGGTTTTCGGTTTGGCTCCTGTTACTTTTACGCGAGTTGATAATGCATACCGCATTACCTTATCAAGTTCCGTCAGTTATTATGGCTACGCACTCGTTGGCATCTTATGTAAGTAACAACAAGTTAAGTTACCTATAAATTTAAATAAAACACTTTTAACGGTTTAAAACACGAAATGTATGAGTTAATCTATTTCAACTACGGCCCGTTGTTTCGGAAGCTTTGCGTCGATCGTGGTCACGGGGAGACAGAAAATGGCGGATGTCTTAAATATCAATGTCAAATCTGCTACGCTACCGCCATCTGTTTCCTGGTAGTTGATATTCGTTAAACGTGTTCTATTTTAAAATGTACTACTCGAGTAAATTAATTATAGACTGTTCTTAATTAATGGTTACGAAACATTTTATAATTCTCATAATCCAAGAACACTTGAAGTTGGTGGGTTTTAGTATAATAATAGTTCATATCATATGTAAAGGCATTTTTAAAGCTAATGTGTTAATTCAATCTTATTTTTCAGGTCTATCCGTTTCAGTCGATTATGTTCAAAATGTTCTGCTGTCAATGAGAATTCGACTTTTTGCTATAACGATGAATACCACAAGCATACTTTTGAAGATTTCACTACTGTGTTTCGGAATATTGGGAAGCAAATCTCGAATGACGAATTTAATTGTAACAAATAATGTGATTGTCAATTTTATTTAAATTTGTGACTAAATAGAGAGACCTGTCAAAGCTATCGTAACCAGCAACTATATTTTTATCACTTAATACCCAACAAATCCAACACTAATTATTAAAAAATTACATCTAAAAAGTATTAAACATATATCTCATTTAGAAACTAAAATTAAATATGTAGCACAATCCCATATGTAGATTATTTATTAAAATAAATATTAAAATATCTGTTTGCCTGGAAAAGATTGCTGCTTAGCGATAAGGCCGCTTTTTAGTTAAAAGCTAGTACGTAAGTTTTTATTATTGCAAACCATTCCTGTGGTGTTTGTAATTAATAAAGTTTAAAAAATAAAATAAAATTAATGGTATATTAGAAGGCAATAAGATACTCATATACATCTCAACATATACATGAACTTTTACTTACGCTATTTTTCAGCTTACGAAGAAACATAATGTTTCAACAGAGTGGAGGGGAATTTCTTTAGTGATCGCTTGTTTCATGCTTAGATTATACTATTTTAATATTTTTGGATTTTTTAATTTAGAAGACGACAAAAAATGTAAGTATATTCACACGCCAATTTAAACTCAAAAACGTTTGTAGCTCAAGAAGTTATTTAAGCTTTTGTCTCTTTCCAGCATTCATAACTTTTTTCATAACCATAAATAAGGATTTAATTAATTTTGTGGTATCACTCGTCGAGATGAATGTGGTATTGGTAGCATTTGAAATGCGCAAATATTTCGGAGCTATCAGAGATGCTTTGACGAAACTTAGAAAAAGTATAATTTCAGGTAAATAAATGATTTTATCTGTTTAGGGAAATTCAAAATTGTCTGTAAATTAATCGTTTTTAAATTTCCAACATCAACAATATACTCACTTTACTCAATTATATAGAGCCTTTGTGCAGGCTACATATAATCATTTACTTTTATAACAAAGCAAGGACTTTGAGATGGACTTTGATTTATACTACACGGCTCTTCATGTGCGCAAGCCCGAGCACGTAAGAACGACATCAAAATAAATATTATATGGCTGAAATTTTGATATACTTACTACGAATTTAAGATAATTCGTTGCGAGTTAAATATTATACATGTTTACGTCGCAGATAAGAAGTCAGTGCACACCGATACTCTTATAACTCTTCGAGTCCTCAGCAAAGCTTACACAGCGTCTTGCGAGTTGATCATGCAATACAATACAACGGAGAATTTGACGGCTATGGTGTTATTTGTGATGTATACAATACAACTAACTTTTACAATAAAAAATTTCGCGACCGGTTTAGGTGCCTCAGGTAATGTATTTCATTTCACTTAAGTTTAAATAAGGTTTTTAGTTTGGTATGAAATTAAACCTGCAAACAAATCTTCTATAAAACAAGGCGTACCATTAAGTACTGGTCGTGTGTTTCTTCATCATGTTTGAAGTGTCATTTAAATAAGAATATTGACTGTAATCTTTGCTTCCAAAGAGAAAACGTGGTCCTATCGTTTCTTCGTTCTGGTAATCTGACCGCACTGAAGCAGCTTGGTGGGTCTAGGAAAACCTTTCATTTGAAAGAGAGGACCTGTGCCCAGAAGTTAGCCATTAGTAAGTAGAAGGGACGCATAATTTTGATGAACCACTAGGCATCGAACCCCCGACAATATCAATGCGGCTCTCTTTCATCTAGGCATGGATATAAATATTCAGTTAGTGAAAAACTCACAACTGAATTATAAAATATACAGTACTATAAACATTATAATTTTGTATTTAATCTGTGCAATCTTGTTTACAGACTTGAAGCAAAGGGCGGAAGCTTGTTCGGGAGAAGTTGTATGGCTAATATTTCATACTGTAAGAGCTGTCAGTTTTATTGAACCCTGGTACCAAATTTCTAGAGAGGTATCACTTTTCGTAAACAAACACAAAATTAACATGTAATCGTGATTTTCTCACAAGTTTTACATTGATTCACACTAGAATCACTTTATATATTAAGCTAATAAACTACCTCAAATTAACATAGTAAAAAAATACAATTTCACAGATTGAAAATTCATTACTTTGACATTTACATAAGGATAAAATGAAATAAACATCAACGACAATAGAAGTTAGAAGTCCCACTCATGCACGATCGCACGGTTTGAAATCGACCATATTTGTTGTGTTCTTTTGACATGTTAGAAAAAATGCATTATAGGACGCTTTATTTGTAACCAGTATTTATTTTTATGAACAATCTTGTTTAATTAGATGATGACAATAAACAAAGAACTGGGCCAAGTAGCACAGAGCGTGACTTCTATTGGCGAAGAAATGCCGATGGAATTAAATACTTTCTGCTCTCAGACGATGATCAATAAGCCTAATCTAACTCCGTTTGGTTGTTTTACAGTGACGCGATCGCAATTAGGGGAGGTATGGGCCTTTATAACATTGTCTGTGGACTAATTATTACATTGTGCGAGAGGTACATGTATCAATAAGTTGAAAAAATTCGACGATGAGGTGTAGGACTCGGTAACTCAATTGGTAGAGCAACAGCACGGAACGCTGACGATGCCGGATCAAGTCCTGCCCGAGTCGAAAATGTTTTCAATTTATTTTCGATTTTTAAATTATATAGTGCCTTCATGTGCAATAACATGTGTCTACGAAATGTTAATATGATATTTTTTTTTCAGATTATCTCTGTAGTTATGACGTACACCTTGGTTATTATTCAAGTATGAAGTATGTATATAAAAATGATCTCATTTAAAATATCATTACTTTCACGCGTGATGCATTTACGCTGTAATGAAAAATTGCATGTGTTTTATTGCCATAATAATGTTGGCCAGTGCGAATATATTTTTAATGTCACATGTTACGTACTAACAACTCTTTGTGGGAGGGTATAAGAAGTTATCGTACCTAGACGTCGGCAATTTAAAAGTTTTCACAGCTAGTATTATATTCTTTGCTTTATATTATCGTATTTCTACATTTCCTTTTTCAGTAAGTTACTTATTGGAGTTAAAAGTTTAAGAAAATTGTAAGAAGTGAATAAAGTATTTAAGCAGAGATTCTGACTTTCTCTGTATTAAAATTTTAAAAAGTTCCTATATTATCATCCTGATATCCTTGGAAACATCCACTTTTTAACAAAAAATACTTATCGAAATAGATGCATGTTCATTTAAAAATCATTTACTATCTATTGTTTAGTACCATACAGTGTTTATACATTGCTATATTGTACTTGAAATTCAGAGAAGTACTAAATTTTGAAAATAATATTTAGGTACAATACGGCCGACGACTTGGCATGTCTAAACATAAGTTAGATGAACATTGGCGCATATACACTCGTAAAGAAAACTAATACTGCCATTTATTTTCGTTACTGGGATAAATTAAAGATTTTACATATAGCAAGCAAACGTACCATACCAATAATTGATTCAAAGAATAAAATATAACAAAAGAGAAATATTAGTATTAAATTTAACAATAAACAATCACTTTTCTAACGGTCAGCGCTCAAGACATAGATAACGAAATAAAAGGCCAATGAGTAACCGAGACACACTACTGTTTACCGAATATGTACGAAACAACAAAATAAACATCTCGATACTCGTACACACTGAGTGTTATTTATTCGATTTCTATTGAAATTTAGAAAATTAGATCCTACAAATATGTTTGTATAAAAAGCCTTAAAGAAGGAAAAAAAAAAGAAAAAAAGAAGTCTTTCAATAAAGAAAAACAAGTCTTAATGATTTTATCTTTCTTGAAAATTATTCATGGTATCGTTTATTAACAACACCATTCATTAAAAATCCATATCGATCTGCATCGATTTAGATTATGGAAAAGATAGTCAATCTCTAACCCAGATATCGTCCCGCGCACGTCACTCTTACCACGGTTAACATCCTAAAAGAACATTTCTGCGCAGCGTTTTGCGCGAACTTCACACTTGCCAAATTACGTTGGCCGTATTGTAAGTTATTTTTTTCTATAAGATTTTATTAATTTTTTATAGGCAAATATAAGATTGACACTTTTCACTATTTCATTTTCAATAAGATTTAAATAAAAACCATAGATATTGATCCAATAAAAATGTATTAACGGTAAAAGGCAAATAAATTACACTAACTAACATATTTAAAAATGATTAGAACGTAACAGAAAGCGTAGCCGATTTGGCTTCAACAATAAGGATGCCCTCCATCTTCGTCACGAGTCCCCCGACTGCTGCAAAGAACGAAAACTTCAAAACCGCGTTTTAAACAAGTAATATTGTTTAATCATATTTATCTAGATTAATTAACATCGTTCATTTTCGAGTGAATTAAATATTACCTTAAGCGGGTAATTATAGAAACGATGTCAATATAAATGGGTTTCTAATGCTTCGATAGCATCAAATAAATCATTGTTACTGCATAACTGAGTGTTCATAAGTCATTTTAGCCCGGCGTAATCTCATTTGTGAAACATAGCGTAATAAGGTTATTATTTGGTGTTTATGATTTTAATATGAAGAAAGTAAATAAAACACTTTTCACGGTTTAAAACGCGGAATGTATTAGTTTGCTTGTTTACAATTTATTATGACCCCTAGTGATCACGGCTGCTAAACATTCGAAACGTCGCGTCATATCGTAGGTATATACATTGTAAATAAGTACATTATAGATTTAATCGCATAAAGTGAAACAATATTGATGTCACGCTAGAGGTTTTGGATAATCTGATGAATGGTATCTTAATTGATCCTGAGTTTTTGTCTCATATATTTTTTAATTAAAGTTCTTTGAAATTTGGTTTGTCGCAGTCGTTTTAGGTTCAGTGCAGGTATACTATTTTCGACATCAAAATGGCGGTATCGTGCCAAGTAGACGGATTTATGCTGAACGTGATTCGGGTGTCCAGAGTATTCGGTTTGGCTCCAGTTACCATTAAACAAGTCAATAATAAATGGCGCATTACCATATCTAAATACGCGGCTTACTATGGCTATATTTTATACTTATTTTTATGTACGTATCGTCTTACAAGTTTTCTTTAAGCTAGAACGTTGTTAGCCCTCGAAGTCAGAAGAGGATTATTTGAGATAAACCTGTTTCCTCCATACAGCGAACACATTTCTGTGTTCATTTCTTTGAGCAATTATATTTACAGGCAAGTCAAGACTTAAGGCCTGCCCGGCCGAAACAATTTGGCTCACCAGAATTTGCGTCCGTTCAGCCACTTAGCTGTAGAGGAGGTTAGGTAAACTTGAGATGGATGTAACTAATTTTGATGCTAGAAATAGTCTGTTATGTTTAGTCAAAGCAGAACCCCTTAATTAAAAAATAAACTTACTATTATAAGATTGGATTAAGACGCGAGAGGTCCTACCTACACTAACGGAGACTTTTAAAGGATTTGGTTAGGTAAACTCGATGCCTCGCCCGCGCCTCGTCAAAGATATAATTGTTTGTTTCAGTTGCAGTTACGCTTACGAATGTTGCCTTAGAGATAACGCTTGTTCCACCTGTTCAAGGCTTCAGCACTGTTCGTCGGGCCCGTGTTATGTATTTCATTTTATCATTGTCAGACTTCTTTTTTTTCGAAACCATTACTGGCATCGGATGTTGCTACAGCCTTAAAAGGTTCACTGACATTATTAAAAATTTAGATGTCTTAAAAAAGGTATGGGAATATTTTTTATTAAATTAGAAATTTTAAAAATACAATTCTTTCAATTTACTGATAGGAATAAAGTGGCAAAAAGCAATATTGTCAAATATATATGTAAAGCTTTTTGAGCTGTTCGTCGTAGTAATTGTAAAATGGTTGGATACCTTCTGGCAATTTTGCCTGTTCCTTGACAAAGTGTAGACTGTCTGACCGATGTCAACTAGTCTGCAGTAAAAACCCTTGGTTTGGGAAGTAGCCAAAACACTCTTAATTTACAGAAATAATTATATTGCATATTACCGTATCTTTGTATTTCAGCTTAGTGACGATAAAAAAAACAAATCACGGTTCATCATTGTGATGTTCTATGTAGGAGTTCGAAGTTTTTTTCTATGCATGGGCACACTATTAAGGTACCAGGAAACTGACAGCAGTACGTAACATCTTATAATATGTCTATTATTTAAACAAACAACTATGACAGAAAAGGATTATTTTACAATCCTATAGCAATATGCAATGGAAGTTTTTACAGGTAGATTGATGTATAGACAAAACTGGTAAAACCTGCTATTTAAATGTTTCAGTTCAAAGGTTTCTTATGCACACTTTTGTCGAGGCCCACCACTTGCTAATTTCTCTTCTGGAGATACAAATGATATGTATAGGCTATGCAGTTCAGAGGACCTTAAATTCAATAGTACAAGAACTGTCTAAATTACGTTCACATGTTCACAGAGGTCAGTTTTCATTATTATTAATTATTTTAAAAGAAGATTAAACATAATTGTAGTAAATAATGATTTGTGGTAATGGATTAAAGACATTTAAGAATAGTTTATAAAACAAAACATTTTTACAGATCAAAGAGATAGGGCTTTTTACTCTCTCTCATCTCTTCAAACATCGGCCAAGACTTTTACTGATACATGTGAAGTTATGGAACGAGTGAATGCCTGTCATGGCTGTTTGGTGTTATTGTTTATAGCATTATACACCCATCATATAATATTCACCGCAGACAGTTTGGCTTATTTTTTGACACATGCTGACATAGGTGAGATGTGACCTAGCATAATAATCTAACCAGATAAATACTGACAGAGGACTCCCGACAAGCATGTCGTTCACTTGATGAATGCTGTAAACGTACGGTTTACAGCTTTCATGTCTTTGGACGTTGGATTGTGACACATTTAATATCCAGAAAGTCCAACATGGTTCAGCTGAATTATAAATTCCTTAGAAACATTTGGGAATCGGTGGGGATCAAACCCACGACGCGTTGATTATTATGAATACTGAGGAATATCAAATTAAAAATTGATTGATTTATTTTAAACAGAGACAGCAAAGTTTTTTGGAAAGTGCTCTCTGGATGTTATGTGGTTGTTATATCATATCATCAGAGCAGTCATCTTTGTACACCCGTGGCATGGAATGACCCAAGAGGTAGCGCTCTTCTAATATATAAAAGTCTCATGTCACAATGTAGCTAACAACTCAGGGCGCTTATTTAATATGCCTCTGAGAATCGGCCTCAATATATTTTTATGATATTTAGGCTTATAATAAATGTTTACGTAATATTCTATTTTTTATTTTTGTTATCTTCGTGTTAATTGTTGATCATATCACTAATGATAAGTAAATTATTTTTCTAAACTATAAAATACTCATTATCTATATCCTCAAAATATACTTTTACAAGTCCCTGGAAAAAAAAATAAACGTTTCATTATATAGGTGGACAAAATTAAGATTGAGCTGTGTAAAATACTACAAAGAACTTCACCAGATGACATTGAAATGATGTGGGGAGCTAAAGTTTTGTATATGGAGTTGATGATAAAGAAACCTGAGCTAAAGCCTTTAGGACTTTTCACAGTATCTCGATCTCTGCTTGTTGAGGTAATTTCCTGTAAATAGTTTTCAGTAGAGTGATTTCTATATATTTTTTTATGACAGAGGAGGACGGCCAAGCAATGATGAAAGGTGATAAATCCTAGCCCTACACCATCTTATATTTGAGGTTAAGTTTCGATGACCGTATTTTGAAACGCGAATTGAAAGCTTTACGAAGTGCTCTTCTCTGGACTACTTCTACCACTTATTTCAGATTACCGTTTGGTCTAGTTCGAGATCTAAAATCTTTAAGAGATGTATGCGTTGATTAAAAACGTATTGACCCCGGTGATAAATGAACCTACGACCCATTGGTTTATACATTGCTACCATTGGATTTGGTAATTACGCCCAAATGTCTGTTGGGTAAATGTCATTAGGAAAAAACCTTTTTTCTATTAACTTTTAAGACTTTCAGGTTTCTTTTCAATAATAATTATTATTTTTCAAAAGATAATTAAAAAATATATATTTCCAATAAAAAGCACGAAACCCAAGTAATCGTATTAAAATCGTTATTTTTCAGATCATCGGAGTTGTGATCACATACACCGTTGTTGTCGTGCAGCTAAGAAACTAATACTTTTGAGATATGTATAATTCTTAGTTATAAAGTTTTGCTTGAATTAAAACTGATATAAACGTTTGTGTTATTATTACAATAGTAAATATTACAGCAGGTTTTTTATATTTAAAGGTCACTTCGATTAGTTTGATATGATCATTCCACAGTCGGCCCATACATACTTTCTCGTAAATGATAGAGAATGCTTTGGACGATCGAAACAAAAGAAGCTTGCTTTCAGAAGCCACGATGATGAACGATCAAAGTACATACAAGACCGTATTTATATCGAAAGGAATATGGGATATTCCTTTCGAAGACGAAAATAGACGTATTTTGATCTTAATCGAAATATAAAATTTATTGTCTATCTATACATTATCTAGATATAATAACCGTTGACATTAAAGCTAATGTAGTACGAGTAGTAATTGCGTTTTTAACGTAAAAGCCACTTTACGAAGTTCTGGTGGTTCATTATACATTAATAAATATAACAGGACATTGATTTTGGAGGTCTCTTCAGGAAGGTCGTTACGTCAAGCGCAATTTGGTAAATGCTTTTATTAATACTCTATTAAATATATACTTTGCTAACGTCTACCACTACTTGAAGATTACCTGCGAAGTGTGTTGATAACAAATGTTTGATGTAAAATTTATCTTTTACCTTATACAAATAAGGGTTCTGAACTATAACTTTTAACATACAAGACCTTTATATTAGACGTAGATTCGAGTCCTCTCTTTCGCATGGTTTTTACACTCTACCACACTATCGTGTCTTTCCCCCTTAGATGGAGGTTTTTTTGACAGTGTTATTTTTAATTAGCTACTACAATTGAGATAGATTTAAAAATAGAAAGTGTGAAATAAGTAAATTTTATTTCTTCTTCTTAAATAGATGTAAGTTCATGGTTACCACATGGAGGCTGCAGTGAAAGGAGCTTTACTCTTAGTTTTCCGGGTTTCGAGAGTCTTCGGCTTGGCTCCCATCTCCATCACTAAAAGCGAAAATGGCTGTCGCATATCTATATCTAATACAATGGTTTGGTATAGTTACATACTACTGTGTATTTTGAGTAAGTTTAAGTTTACATCAAGCTTGTTTTAAATATAGTTTCAGAACACGAAAAAGCACGAAAAAGTTCAAAACAACATGATCTCTCTACGTTAATCATCTCTGGTGATTTAAATTAATTATAAAAGCAGTTTAAATGAAATTATAATTATCGCTTAAACTGGACGCTGACATATAAAACAATTTAAGTAAACAGCTAAGTTTAAAACAGTATTGCTTTGAATCGCTTAAAATATTCTTTAATAGTAATTTGAACTTTTTGCCCTAGGTCTGTCAGTTTCAGTAGATTATATTGAAAATGAGCTATTGCCCTTGATGAGTGTTCGGAAGCCTCATCTTTTAAGAATTTTCATGAACACAATAACTAGGACTCTACAAGTAACCATTGTTAGCTAACGTCGGAATGTTACACAGCAAATCTCGATTAACGAATTTGATCGCACTAATTCCGGTAATTATTATTTTTTTGAAAATATATATGTACATGATAAATTAATATGTTTGATCTCCTTTTAGATACATAAGAAAACCAATGTCTGGGCTGAGCGCAAAGGCGTCATTTTAGTTCTTTTTTGTATTGCGTTAAGATTGTACTTATTCAACAGCATTCATTTCTTTTACATGAAAGACGTAACCAAGTGTAAGTATTTTATTGAAAAATGTTTGTCCTCGCTAGTAGATTTTGTTGTAAAATTAAATACCTTTTGCAGCTATCGCCTTATACCTAGGTTCAATATCCCTGGATATAATTTTCTTAAATATGGCACTCCTGGAGATGAGTTTGATTTTAGTAGCATTTGAAATTTGCAAATATTTTGTCACTATCAAAGACGCATTGATTGAACTGAATAAAGATATCAATTCAGGTAAAGTACTCGTATGTAGGAAAATATAATTAAATAGAGATCGTTAGTGTATGTATATTTATCTTTGCAGATAGGAAGCCGACTAACCGTGATACTAAATTATTACTTTGTAAACTTAACAAAGCTTACACTGAATCGTGTGAAGTGGTCATGAGATATAATTTATCAGACAATTTGACAACAATGTTGATATTGTTTATAATTATTCTACAACTAACTTTTACTTTGAAGAACTTCACCGTTACTTTGGGCATAGCAGGTATTAACTACTTGTGTTTTCGATTTCTCTGAAATTTGAAATAATGACTTTGGATAGTATTTTGGACTTTGTCTAGTTCGTTTTGTTTTCCGACAGTTTTACAATGTCTAATTTTATTAATATTACAGATACTCATGAAAGGGCCTATGCTTCCATTCACGAAGCAATGTGGTTATGCTACCATATTTTAAGAGCTGTCATGTTTATCGAGCCGTGGAATAAAATGTCTACAGAGGTAGTGAGATTACATCTGATAACTGTCACTAAATCAAGAAATAAATTTCTATCTTGTCTTTATTAGGTGGGCATAATAAAACGACAACTAGTAGACATAGCGCGCAGTGTTACTCCTTATGGTGAGGAAATATCCCCGGAATTGCAAACCTTTTATTTGCAGTTAACTACTAACTATCCAGATTTAACACCTATGGGTTGCTTTAAAGTGACTCGGTCGCAACTCGAAGAGGTATGAATGAACATAATTTAAGCTATATATAATAATAATAATAATCATCATTTACGAATGAAACCGGAATCGAACAGGATTCGAACCCATAAATTCAACACTTGGAGGTATTAATGTGTTATGTTTGTCTTGTGTTGGTCGTCGTCCCGTACCTTGGAGAACGCGTTAATTCGTCGGTCCCTATTACTTACCAAGACTGATTAAGGACTACCCGCACTGCAGAGCCTTCGTGGGGTCTCCTTTTAAAATAAATAAAAGCTATACTTAAAAGTGGGATATTGATAGGTGGAAAAGAGATGTTTGAATAAGCTATATTTTTTCGTAGTAGGTATTCCATGTCATAACACCTCTATATTAATGCATTAGATTTCTGCACATGTAGAATGAAAAGATTATCACAGAACAGGCATGGTTAACAAAAGTAGTAAGATACACCATTTTTTCCAGATTCTTGGTTTGGTCATTACATACACACTTGTTGTAATACAAATTCGTTAATTTAGTTTCAGAAATATTACTATTTCAACATATTTGTGAATAAATGTATTTGAACAAAAAGTTGTTATTTATTTGACTAAAACTTACTTAAACTCTGACGAATGAATCGATTTTATAATGGTTCCAAAAATCATCAAATAACTATTGTACACATATATAATGTATAAATTGAGAGACTTTTTTGTATTGCCACGAACTATCTACATCTATCTAAACTACATAGCATCTAAACTATTTATGCGATCTCGATCTATTTTGACATTTAAATAAATGTCAAAATGCAGAAATGTTTTGCAAAAGGTATTTAATATTCCTACTAATCATTGCAATCAATTTTCCAGACGAAATTTTACATATTACAAAAACATAAGACAGTTTATTAGAAATATATTGAGTCATAGACACTTTTGACATAGCATGTTTTATTAAAGACTTGAAAATGTAAAACGTATTTCACTAAAGCTTCTAAATAGAATATGGATAAAATAAAATTTCCTTCATTTCATATACTTAGTATAAAAAACCAGGACTGCCCACAACTGCCTATTCTACAAATATTGATTGATATTAAAAAGAAACCTTAGTTGGAAAAGCTGAATTATCCTGTTCAATGTACTGTCCGTATTATAACATTGTAATGCTCGAATTAGAATGTAAAAAGTAATCTAGCGTAATAATATATAAAAATAGCGTATAGTTACATAGCTTCAGCCATTCAAGGTCACTGGCTAGCAATCAATACCATTGTATTATATGTATTACTAATATTGTCATTACTGTGTAAGTTGCGACTGAATGTTAAAAGATCTGACAATTCCACGAAGGTAAGATGTAATTTAATTTTATTAACTCTATATTTTATTTGATCACATTTCCCACATCCACATAGAAAATGGAGCATGCGTGTGCAGTTCACGGGGCGTTACTACTGTCTCTTCGACCGTCTAGAGTGTTCGATTCGGCCCCTGTCAATCTTGCGTCGGATGAAAATGGATGTCGAATAACGTTACATAAATCAGGCTTATCTTAGGCGTATCTTAATATCAAGGATAACCTCAGTTTTTAGAACCATTTATTGTACGTATCTGTAATGAAGGTATTGCTTTTCTAATAAAGCAGGTAACTAACATTATTCTATGATATGGAGGCTCATGGAGAAGAATAATAGGTGGTGTTCACCAAGTAAACAATCGATGGGATTTACCTTGCGTTGGCTGCACAGGTCTTGGCATCGGAAAACATACGATCTGACGTTCGTCTTTTACGAATGTTCGAAAGCTGTGCAAAACACGAGGCACGTAAGTATGAATTTAATTATGTATTATTTTACTTTAAGGCATACAACAATATTGTGGCCCGGAAATCCACCTGGAACCAGTTGAAACCGACGTCATGACGCATTGGCATCCTTACAAAGATATCACTGGACCAAAAATAATTAAATTATATAACCTTTAATATAATTCAATTGTTCAAATTTTCAAAGTTCAAATGTGTTTCTTTAAATGTTCATTATTATACAGGGAAGTTGATCAGACTTCTGTGTCCTACTCAAATACCTAGACATTAATAAATTCAATTATCATTTTCTCGGTTTTATTGTTAAAAATCATTAGCATGGGAAGCCATGCTTTGTGTGGTTTTGAATTTGTTGTTTGTTTCATTGTCTACAGATAATAAACCAGATGATGAGGAGATTGCGTTGTCTTTGCGCAGACTTTGCACAGCATATGTTAGAAGTTGTGAGGTTATTTCACAATATAGAGTTTTGGATGATTTTATGTATTTGGTATTTTTTTTAATCACGGATTTTTTTGGTTTAGGTATTAATCATATTTACAAATGAATCTGGTGTATACTACTCAAAACAACTTAATTTAAGTCTAATAGCATCTAAACAAGATGCGCTCTCGACTTACTCAGACTCTGGATATTGAAAGCTAATCACGCGGCAGCGTGTCAAGCCAAGTTCAAGCAAAGGATCTGGTGGGGCATCGCTAATCTTTACACAAAACATTTGGTGTGTTTAATAATATTCATAAGGACACCTAGAAGCCAAAGATTTCATGACAACAACAACATGACAATTTAAAAATCGAAAATAAATTGAAAAAACATTTCGACTCGGGCAGGACTTGAACCGGCATCGTCAGCGTTCCGTGCTGTTGCTCTACCATTTGAGCTACCGAGTCCTATTTTATCCCAGTCAATCGCTGATAAAGCCGGTACAAGTACTACCCAAATCGAAATTTTTTGAATTTATTTTCGATTTTTAAGTTATATAGTGCCTTCAGGTGCAATAACATGTAAAAAATAACAACGTGACAACTCAAACGGTTATAAAGCCAAATTCAACTTATTTCTTTATATCCAATAAAGAAGAAATCTATTTTATTACTTCATAATATTATTTTGTTCCTATAAGTATATACTTGGATTTTGCATAGAAAAAAACCCAAAAAAAAAAAAACCCCCGGGGGGGGGGGAAACAAAAAAAAAAATTGGGGGGGGGGGGGGCCCCCCCCCAAAAAAAAAGGGGGGGGGGGGAAAAAAAAAGGGGGAAAAAAAAAAGAAAGGGGGTTTAAAAAAAAAAAAAAAAAGGGAAAAAAAAAAAAAAAAAACCGGGGGTTCCCTGGGGGGGGGGGTTTTAAAGGGGTTTAAAAAAAAAAAGAAAGAAAAAAAAAAAATTTATAAAAAGGGGCCTAAAAAGAAAATTTCGAAAGCCAGGACTGCTGATAAGGGAAGATTGGCCTACTACATATATTGATATAAAAAAGACTACGTAGGGGAGACCGGGGCTGGTTGACTATAGGTATAGGTAGACAAACTATCAAAAACTCGTTAGACGCAAAAGCTTTGAGCCAACTAATGAGGCATGAGTATTCGGCACCTTCCCCCACCTGCACGCTGTTCGTTGGAGAATAGGAGAGTAATATTGAAAAATACCACACGTAAGTAATTATTTTAGTCGTCACGGATATTGTAATAATTCCTATTTATTCATAATTATTGATTGTCAAAGTATTCATAACGAATGTTTGGTACATGTTCTTTTTTTTATATATTAGTCTCCTTTTTTGTTTCTTTTTCTTTTTTTTTCTTTTTTTTTAACTTTGGTTCAATATTTTGTTGAGAAATGATACATGAAAATGGTAGGAACTTCGTGGATGTTGCTATTTGATACAAAGTTTCCACGAAGTTCCTTATATTATTCTACTTGATTTCCTCCCAGTTTTAAGGTGCTACCTTAAAACTGGGTTAAAATTAAAGGTAGCACCTTATAATTTTTAACCCGTGGTTAAAAATTATAAGGTAGCTCGGGGCCGGTTGACTAATGTAGAACGGGTCTGGTTGACTAGCTGAAATTTTTGTCTAAAAATTGTTGTTTTAGGACCTACACGACGCTAATAAGGAAAAAAATGACGACTATGAGAGTGATGAGGCTGAAACATTTTGTTTGGAGTGCACTGAATCCTACAGTTTGAGTATTTTAGGAGAAGAATGGGTACAAGTTATGGGCACACACAAAATGTGAAAATAGGAACACATTGTTCTATGAATGCAAAAATTGCATTTCCGATTTAGAAGATCGATTGAATAGTATGATCTCCAAAGAATACTTTTAAAACTAACATATAATACTTATATATAATAATTTACATTAACACTGTTACCAAATAGTAAAAATAATTATAATAGTTAAATTACATTTTTTGTTACTGAATGAGTAAAGTTTATAAAAAGTTGTTTAGTTTTGTTTTAAATACTTATAAGAAAGTACGCTTTGTTTATTCTTAGGTAAACAAATTGCCTAATGTTCAAACATTTGATTGCTTTTTCTTATTTGATTTCCATTTTGTTTAATTGAATTGGCCAAACATCGCCTATTGGTTTCAATAAAACCCCTACCGCAGTTAGAGAAGCGGAGCCCGCCCCAACACTGTCCATCGTACCGTCATATACTTAGTTACATTGTATTGCTCGAATTAAAATTCAATTAAGTAATATCTACATTAATGAAGCCACTGGAGGTCGCTGGCAATCAATTACACTATGTAAGTCGCGTCTGAATGTCAGTGATTGTTAGGGATCTGAAAGTTGAACGAAGGTAAGACATACAATGTAATATTATTAAGTAATACTTTTTTGATCACGATTCCCTGAAACTTTCTCGTGTTGCAAGACATAATACAACGGTTGTGTAAAGCAGGTGTAGGCTAGTTTTATCGAAAAGTTCTCGAAAAGAAATTTTAATAACCAATATGTTATTGAAATTATGAATGTTCGAATCAACACAAATGTTTTACTACTATTAAAACTAGAATTCTGGCTTTTCTTTTACGCTTGAATGGGTTCGATAAAATTTTCGTGTGAATTTAAATCACAGGAATGACAATCTTCCTTTTATCATAAAAATATACTTTGGTTCATATTTGGATTTTTAATGGAGTCTTTTATTTTTTTTTTGAAGAAATAGAAAATGGAAACTACTTGTTCAGTTAACGGAGCGTTACTCTTGTCTCTTCGACTGTCCAGAGTGATCGGCTCGGCCCCTGTAAAAATTGCGTCGGATGAAAATGGACATCGCATAACGTTACACAAATCAGGCTCACATTACGCTTATATAACTCTGCTTATAGTCTGTAAGCTTTATTCAGTAATCATATTATTCTTGGTTTTAAACGAAAATAAGCAACTTTCGTAACAAACAGGGATTTGACGTCCTGGTTGTCAAAACCATTAATTATATTTCACCAGAATAGAAAACCACCTGTATTGCGCAATATATGTAATACTTCAGGCATATATTATCTAAAACAGATGCGCTGTCGCACTTGGTTTGGCTTTGAACTTTGGTTTTAATGCCTTTTGTAAGTAATGTTAAGTCGAAATTTTATCTTCTAGATATCGGCACGATAACAGCAACGTACCTAGATGTCAACCGTCTCCCAAACACACTACTTCATCAACAACATTTTCGTTTTGTTAATTACATGACTTACACAACTCGTTTCTTAACAGCAATAGTTGTTACATCGGGAATCTTAGGGGCTGCTAATCGAATACGTCAATTAATGATGCATGTACCGGTAAGGGCTACTTATTCGAAAATATGCGGAGAGATATATATGTATTACTTGTTAACGGTTAATTCGAAGTATTGCTTGTAGTTTACTACGAGTACTACGAACATTTTTGTTTGTTCTAACTGTCTGTCGTGTTTCAAACTGTTAAAAGTATTTTGAAAATTTTATTATAGTTAAGACGTAATTAAATTTATAGCAGTGCTTTCAAGTTACATTGAACCTAATGCCGTTTTAGTATCAACCTATTTAGAATACTACTAATCGATTAGTTAAGACATGTTATTGGTTAAAAAGTTTGATGTAAGCAATTCATGCTGTTGTATGGTTGCCTGTTGATTTTTTTATCCTTTCAGATAAATAAGAAGCAGAATGTTTTAAAGGAGAAATTACTAAGTTTATTCATTGTCCTTATCTTAATACTAAGAATAATCTCAATTTTCAGTAACATTTATTGTAAGTATATTGATAATGAAGCATTTCTTGTATGATATTGACCATCGAAAAGAATAATAATTCTAATTGTGTAATCCTGTTTTGGCTAATGTTTAGTGTTAAGTATGTTTAACCTATGTATACTATGTAGCTGTAGGAATACCAAATAAACGATAAATAAATAAATAAATAATTGGAGCAAGCAATGGGTTTAGCTTGCATTGGGTACTGGCTGCACACCTTTACGTCGGAAAATAAACCATCGGACAATCTTATTTCATGATCGACTGAAATACCATTTCCATGTTGTTTGCGAATCTGCGAAAGCTATGCAAAAGGGATTTAAGGGAATATCATAGATATTTTATTTTTTTCGATTCGTTGGTATAATTAAATAAAACAATTTAACGGTTTAAAACGCGATGTATTAGTTAAACTTATTTGAACATGATTTTTATCTTCGGCCCGGCTTCTATGTGTACTACTCGTTGGTATATCCAACTCTGCCTGGGTTGGATACCGAACCGACGCATTATCACCAATACAAAGATACCACTAGGCCAAAAATACAAAATTAATAATACAATTAAATTTCAAAATAATTCAGGTTGTGCATTTTAGCCCATCCAGAAGTTTTAAGTAGAAACGTAGACGATACTATCCAAATGCTTTCGTTTCTGATTGAAGTCCAGGTTTTCCTTATAGCCTTGGCAACTAATAAGTATTTTGATGCAATAAAAGATGAAATGTTGGCGCTTAGTGGAAGAACACAATCAGGTAACGCCCATAATAAAGGTGCTTTTACTTCTTTAAATTGCTTCATCTAAACGACTTCAAAAAAAACGGGTTTTCTATTCAATTCGCTTTATTTTTGTTTGTGCAAAACTTCATCCCTTATGGACAAATATTTGATCCTAGCAGGCAGTTGGTTTGAAGGAACGTCCAAATATTATTGCTGCAACTTATTTACTCACATGTGGTGAACTATTGACGTTAATTTGGTATCGTAGTAAGATTGTTTAATTATTGACATGGCCCCGATTTCAAAAATAATCTAGAAAAGTATTTATTAACTTATTACTATTTAATATATCTTTTTCATTTTTAGTTTACTCTTTGAAGATATTTTATACTATTTTTTTAACTAAGGACTCTTTTAGTGATTGTTTGTTAATATTAATTTCTAGCCATAAGTTGTTGTTGTGTACGATACTTCGCAGGTTTTATTGTTATTTTTCAGTGTGTCCTTTAAAATTTGTGTTTGTTTTGTTTTCTACAGATATTAAACCAGATCACCAGGAGATTGCATTGTCCTTGCGCAGACAGAACGTATGCTTGCAAAGCATATGTTAGAAGTTGTGAGGTTATTTCACGATATGCGGTTTTGGATGGTTTTACGTATTTCACATTTTTATTGATTTACGTTATTCAAGTGATTTTTTCGGTGAAGGCTTTAATAATATTCTCAAGTTTTTTCGGTTAATAGTACTGAAAATATCTCATGTTATTTATAACTAAATAATGCGAAAATATAACTGTGTTTATAAATTGTAGATATCAAAGAAATGGCGTTTGGACATGCAGTTCAATGTGCATGGATTCTATATCACCTAACTAAAGCTTTTTTATTAACTGAACCGTGGCATAAAATGTCTAAGGAGGTATAAAACTTTATTTTTTTTTTAATGTAAGCCATTTTAAAACTAATAAATAACTTAATTTAAAACTCTCTCTTTAAAACTTTACTAATATTATTTTAAAATTCTCGTGTCACAATATTATTTACCTTTCTCCTCTGAAACAACTTTACTAAATGTTCGCCAAATTAATATTCATATTGCCTTTGAATCAACTTCTATCAGTTTATCATTTGTTTTTTTTTTATTTTATTGGACAACATTTTTTTTCTTGTTATTTTGTATAATGTGGCATTAAGGAATGCAACCATTAATTTTAAAGCTTTTACCATGTAATATATTATAAACCTTAACCTAATTTTTAATTCCGATCGATAACTGTCAACAATCGATAACGGTCAATAAATCGTATCGGGTACCGTCTTTATTGTAAATGTTTTTCACTCTATTTCAATTAAAAGTTCCCTAAGATTATGGAAAATCTCAATTTTATTACAAAATCGATTATTACTATATACATTACTTTTTTTATTTTTGTCTACTTTAGAAATTACCTAGAAATAATTTATATTGCAAGTCTACGTTTGCCGGGTCAGCTAGTTCTAATATTTTTATAGAACAGTGATATAACATCAAAAAAGTAGCGGTTCTTTTAGAAGATATGATAACTTTGTTTTCAATAAATAGTTAAGTTCTATAGATGTCTTGTCTATCGAAGCTATTGTGTTAACTGAATAAGCAAGCAAAATAAGCCTTTAAGCCTTGATTCTTCGGAATAACTTTTTAAGTTAATTACTAATTATTTAATTACTTTTCAGACTGTCGTCATCAAAAAGAGCCTAGCAAACATAGCAATATACATGACTGAGATTGGGGAAGAAATGCCGATGGAAGCAAAAACGTTTCATAGGCAATTGGAAATCGTTAAACCGGAACTATCGTTGTTGGGAATGTTTACAATTGCGAGATCACAAATGTCCCAAGTTGTTGTCTCTTTTGTAATGTTTTATTTTCCTGTTACTCTTCTTGTCTAAATATTTGTTTATATTTCTTTTTTTGTTTCAGATTGTTGGACAGATTGTAACCTACACCATTGTTATAATACAAATTAATTAATATGTTTGAGTATTCTATTAATAAAATATACACATTTCTTAAAACACTAATTAAGTAAGTAAACTTAGAGTAAGGATTGAAATTAAAAAATAAGTTAATATTAATCGCGCATCACGTTCGTTAAAGGTGTTTTATCGAAATTTAAATAAACAGAAAAGATTTATTTAACTCATTTGACATTATTGATACTTAATTTACTCTCTTTTCATAAAGCCTTCTTTTAGGCAACAAATGCATTGTTATCTGTATTTAAAATAAGATTA